ACAGGGCAAGAGTGACTAGCCCCTCAGCTTTGCTGGAGCCTGGCCTGGAAGAAGGATGGGTCAGGGACCAGCCCACAGTCCAAGGTCTAAGCAGGCAGAGAGGGAGAGTAAGGAAAACCAGCCCCTACTGTGTTCTCACATATTTGCTGCACCCTAGTTTTGAGCTTAAAAAACAGGGCTAAAAAGAATGTCAAGTATGCAAGTAAATAACATTAAAACACAGTTCTACTTATCCATTTGGGTTCTTTTCTGCTTCTGTCTGAGTAGGTCAGGATAGTAGATAGCTAATAGCATGGCCTTAGCTTTTAGTAACACAGAATTTTTAGTAACACCAAAAAAATTTAGCCATCTACCTGGTAATGGCTTCACAACAGTTCACCTGTGAAGACTGTCATTCTCCTTTTTCCAGCATGGCTCGTACTGTTAGGTTTTTTTGCTTTGCTCCTGAAACTTGGTCTCCAGCTAAGTTTGTAAGTCAGAAACTTTTAACCAGAGGTAGTCCTATCTAGTGGACTGACATTCCTTGAAGAAAAAGAGAAATAGCCATTTTTCTTTAAAAATAAGTATGATCTATTTATTGCCTTAGATCATTCTTGAACATAAACAGTTTTTATAACATGCTTTAGTATTGCTGCTTTAGTATTCTGCCTGCTGTGTGCAAACCATTAACAGTCTGCTCTTTATCTGTTAACCGAGCCTGTGGGCAGATACCCTCTTTAGAGAACAGTACACTCCCTACTTACACATTCAAGTAAAAGAACCCAGAATCAGAGCTGGCTCGCTGCAACTTTACTTGTTATGTAATTTCTGTACCATATGCCTCAAGGCCTTCTTAAATTTTATTTTATAAAATTTAAAGGATTGTGTGACCTTCATAGTATTTATAAGTAAGGGATCTGACAAAGATTCTTATTATTTATATTTTTATTCATACAATTAAAGAAGCATCTCTCTGTTAACTGTACTATATTGTTTTGGCGAATTTTGTACTTTATTATTTAGTGTTGTTTATAGAATTTATCCAGGCATCTCACTTGATATATAAAAAATATATTTATCTCCCTAAATATAATTATTTCACATTATAATAGTTCAAGGGGAAAGTACCTACCTGAAAACACTGCTTCTCATTAAACATGAAGTTTCCAAGAGGCAGGGACGTCCCATAATTTTATCTTAGTAACTTCGTAGTGAACACACAGGATCCAGCACACAAGCAAGTGTTTACTACCAAAAGTACATAAATTAAAAATTGTCAACAAGGACATGGAAAACTAGAACCCTTGTGCACTGTTGATGGGATTGTAAAATGCTGCAATCACTATAGAAAATGGTATGGCAGTTCTTCAAAAATGTATAATAGAACGACCATATGATCCAGCAATCCCACTTCTGAGCATATGCCCAAAAGAATTGAAAGCAGGGACTTGAACCGGTATTTGTACACCCATTTTATAGCACCATTATTCACAGTACCCAGAGGTAGAAGCAATCCATGTGTCCATCCATTACAAATGAGTGGATAAAATAATGTTTAAACACACAATGGAATATTTTTCAGCCTTAAAAAAAAAAGGAAACCTGATACAGCTATAACATTGAGACGTGAAATAAGCCAAACACAAATGAAATATGTTGTATGATTCCACTTATATGAGGTCATCAAGTAAATGGTGGTTGCCAGGAGCTGGGGAGCCTGGGGACTGGTTTGATGGGTACAGAGTTTCAGGGCAAGTTCTGGAATGGGTGGTGGTGACAGCTGTAGGACAATGTGAATGTACTGAAGTCCATAGAACTATTCACTTTAAGTGGCTTAAATGGAAATTTTTATGTTATGTACGATATATTTTACCACAATTTATTTTAAAAATAGATTTTTTAAATGAGAGGGATACATGCAAATCCTCACTGCTAATTAGGCAATCAAGTAACAACTAACTGCTCAGGTGATATTGTGCTAATAGATTAATTCACTTTTAATGTTCAACTACTTGCTCTAAAAATGAAATGTTTAAATACAAACATAAAATATCCTTCCATCTATTACATTTTCAAAGCACATGTTTTTATTTATAATCAACTTATTCACTGAGTAGTGTTCATTTTTTGTCTGGGGATTGGAATAATACGGAAAAAAATATTTTTTAAATAGTTACATTTTTAATCTATTTGCATATTACCATCATAATTAACATCTCTGCTGCATTCTAAAATAAAAGCACATTAATTATAGATTTTAAATCAACAGTACAAAAAAAATTTGTCTTTAATTATCTAGTTTTTGTCCTTTTAAATTGTGTAAAGAAATTCTAATAAAAAAGGAACTTACCAGAGAATAGTGATTGGTCCTTGGAAGTATATCATCTTTTCAGAAGGAACCAGTATAGACGCCTGAAATGTTATGAAACGTTAGTCAGTTTAAACATTTGCTCTGACTTGTGTTTTTCTTTTGTATCACTACTTTCCCATAGCACTTTCTAGTAAGGGAAAGGTCAGTCTTTCAGATTGGAAGTACTTTCCTTTGAGTTTATTTAACACATAAATATCCACTCTGAGACCACAGTGTTTCCTGACATTTCCTCTCATGACGTTATGATGACAGTTACAGAACTAGCAGTCATGAGACCTATTACTTGTGATGAGAACAGTGATCAGATCCAGTAAAACAAAGCAAAGTTTGCAGCTTTTTTTGTTTGTTTGTTTCTTTAGGGAAAAGATTCTGAAATCATTTTGAGACTGAACTTCGATAATACATGAGGTGAACTTAGGTCTCAGTGGCAGTTTACGCATATTTAAAGCATTCTCTTAAGATTTTAACATATTTCTCAACCTACTGTGAAACAAAATAAGTATTTTTTATTGCTTGGATATTCTCTCACTCTTAATCCTTTTTTTAAGATAGTCATTTAAGAAGCATTAATATCTACATTTTATTTTTATTTTTGTAACTCTAGCCAGTAGGATTCTAACATTTAGATATGATCCAAGGTTTTTTGGAGGGTCCTCTCTAAGGCACATGAAACAGATTGGGAAAATGTAAAGCATTTAGCTATTTCTTCCTTTTTAACTGAATTTATTTTCGGATTAGGTAAAGTTAATCACTGGTATCTCGGTTGAGTTATTCTTGTATTATGCTGGAATCTGTGGTTTTCTGAATAGCAAAGTCACACTGAAATACCAAATGAAGATGGGAGTATCAGTCAGTAATAAGGGCTGAAGTCAGTTAGGTAGGGTCAAGAAATATAGGCAAAACGTTTCCATAAATGTTACAGTTAACACCACATTCATGCTCCTGGGTTATTTTTCAGATTATTAACACTGACTACTCTCAAATGCATCATTACTATCAAAACAGCCAGTGGGGACTAGGCTGGAAAAAATAGCTGCCAGGTTAGAATTAATGTGCAAGGAAATATATATTTTAAAATTCAATATCTGATTCTACTTCATATGCCAATTATTTAGTAGCCAAGGAATGTTTTTCTCCTGTGTGAATATTGACCCAGAGAGAAGTATCATTTCCCAAAAATGTACAAAGTGAAAGGAAAACAAATAACTTAGAACCCTACCCCTTAGAGCAGTGATCAGCTGGCTGTCAGCTTTCATCTGGTGCCAGAGGTCCATGGAGGAGCTGGCGTCACAGGGCCATTGGGGGCGGAGTCAGCCTGGAGCATAGGTGTCAACACTTTGGATAAGTTCTTCCTTTCATTTCTGTTTGAAAATGAAATTGAGTGTAGCCAATTTTTTAAAAGCAAGTCTTTTCTATTGTCAACACTTACAGTTACTGATAATTACTTAAAAGCTGAAATCATGGCAAAATAATAAATGTCAGAGCTAACATGGGCAGCACAATTAATTGCACACTTACACACATGCAGGCCCAGAGGCTTGAGAGTGTGACCTATCATGAGTAAAGCCACAAGGAATTTCCATTCACCCATTAAACAAATATTTATTGAGTATCTAGTATGTGCCAAGCTTCATATTTCTTGCAGCTAATAGCCTTCTGACTTTTCAGGTCATTTATTTTAAGGAGCGAAAATACAGTTTACTATTTTTAAACCCAAATACTTCAACAAGAGAACTGACTTTGATTGTTGTAATGAATTTGAGAGTTGTTTGGAAAAGTTAAGTGATAAAGAAACTTTTCCTTAAGATAAGGCTGGAAATAAGCCCAAGTAGTAATCAATAGGCAACATTTGACTGATTCATTGTAATAGTAATATCTTTTTCCAGTAAATGAATACTTAAAGAAGAGTGCTAGTTGGAATGGATTGTTAGGTGGTTGATAAAAACCTAGCCAAGTCTTCTGTGGTTTCCTTTGTTAATATATGATCCCAAATTGAAATTGAATAATTGCCCAGATAACAAATTAAGTTCTTGCTTTAAGTGTGAGGATGCTGCCCATGAAACAAGTCAATCTTTACAGAAATATTTTCTTTGCAAGAGATGGGGGAGAGGATGATGAGTACTAGTCGGGTGTGGAGGTAGCAGGAGGACACGTGCAGGAGTGGGCCTGCAGGAGTGAAGCTTTCTCCCAGATGCTGCCTGGCAGTGGGTCTCGGTGTGGCGGAGGGGCTCACAGGCCCTGAAACAAAGACTAAAGATGACATTGGAATTAGCCCGGATTAGTGAGACCTGTAAGGCAAGAAAACTTTATGAATACCATGTATGTTTTGACCATTTTACAAGAGTCCTGTACTTTTTTTTTTTCTGCCAAGAAAGGGTGATTCTGACCATATTCCTGAGAAAACACTATAGTTTAATCAATCTAACCCTATTTAGAGTTAGCTTTTTTATACTAGTATTGAGGCAAAGACTTTTGGTTTTACAGAGATAAGACATGTTATTCCTCAATCTGGGTCTATAACATAATAGTTTCCTTTGTTTCCTTTGTATTGGGATCTTTTTTAAATGAGGTCATTGCCTTATAATTCTGGTTTTTCTATTTTCACTGTCATTGATTTCACAGACTTGTTCCTTTCTGCCTTTTCCACCAGTTTACTACAGTGTCCCCAACAGTTCCTGAATTCTTGAAAACTACTACTACTACTACTACTACTACTACTACTACGGATCAGCCCCCTACAAGGTGCACAGCTCCTGTGCTCCCCCCAAACACTGTGTCCTCAGCAAAGCCTGGGCCAACACTGGTAAAGGTGGGTACTCCACATACAAACTGGTTTGAGTGTCTTGTGACTCTTGTCTGTAGCCCCATACATGGAAGACAAAGGCCTGTGTCCACACCACCCAGCCTGCCTGTTAGCCTGGAGCCTTGAAGACAAAAGCGTGGGAGGACTTGCTAGACCAGACGTTAATATTTGAAACTACCACCTTCAATGCACGACCTATTACTCCGCAGTCACAGAACAGCACAAAATGTATATAAACTACTGGAGGCACAAGGAAGGGTGTAGGGGTCATTCTGTCAGCAGCGCCCCGTCCTTTGTCCCCCTTCCCCCCCTCACCCCCCCTTCCCCGCCATCAAGATGGAACAAGGGAAACAGGGTAGATGGAGGTACTTTCACACAGCATGTGAGTCCCGAATCTCACAAACAGATCTCTAATGGTAACATGATTCTGGACTTTCTACACAAGGTTAAACTCAGTGGAATTCCAGATATATTACATGACAGGTTAAAGGTTTGAAGAAGTAAGCACAGTTTTTTGATTTAGCAGATTTGGCCAGATGAAGCTTGGTTTGTTCTTCAGATAAGCTGCAGATTTGTGACATTGTTCCCTAGTCAAAATAACTCAGAATAAGTCCCAAAGAATATTAAAATGCGTGCTGTATAATACATTTTTCAAGTTTTTTTGAAGTGTACTTAAAACTGCTAAATAAAGTGGGGGTAGTGGAAAACCTGCAGAATACTTTATTCATCCCGATGTGGCTTTTGCCAAAACTAGCAGAACACAGATCTCAAACTAAAAAAGGACATTAGGGAGCCAGCTAACGCTCTCACCACCTTTCAGATGAGGAGACTGAGGCCCAAAGAAGTGAAGTGACCAGGCTAGGAAGGACGCAATCTCCCAAGTGCCAGGCCAGCCCTCTTTCTGCCTTCTCATTAACCCATTGCAGGACTCTTCAGAGGCACAGTGCTCATCTCCACCTGTCCCCGGGCCTGTCCTTGTCCCTGACAGGAGGTTCTGTTTCTACTCCTGGCTCGCTTTGTCAGTGTGGCTGCATCTATGTGCCTTCAAGGGTATATAGCAATATATTTCACCATCTACCATCGCTAAGTATTGGAGCCAGAAATTCCAGAGGGTGCCAAGTGGCAACCACGTCAATAAAATCAGCTCTTACCTCCTCCCACACCCCCAAGCATGTACCACAATGGCACAAAGAGCATTTGAATGCCAACCCATCTTTCCCTTCAGACTGAGAATTTGTTCTCTGCCTCTCCTACTCTTCCAAGTTCTCCTCTTCACTATGTCTGCCTGTAAGGAGGGCCTTGGTTGTACGGCCACAGGCATTGTGTAAGAATGTGAGGTCCAGGGGTTGGGGAGGTAACCCTAGGACTCTGCCAGTGGAGGAAAGGACGGTACATATTAGGAAACAGATCACAATCGTTTGGCTTTTTCTATGAGGAAAGCTGTTTCCCATCCTCACTTCCTGAGAGAATAGACATGTTCCAGCTAATAGGTAAATAGGTAATAGCAGATTTGCTCCGAGGAACACTGGTTTTTGAGTTTGTGTCCCCTCCCTTGTCAGCAGGTAGCTTCCTGGTCGCAGTCGGGTCAGTGTTAACAGTTATAGTCATACCTCCGAAACCCAGACCCCATTCATTGGTATGCTCAGTTTGAAAAGACTGGAAATAAAATGTATTATTGATAAAAACATAAGCACGTGACAGTGAACTGACTAATACTGTGAGATTACAGGAGGATTTTTAAAGGGCAAGGATATTTCCTGACATTGTGATGTGTAGTGAGTGCCTGACAATTCAAGTGATTTCTAATTGCATAACATTCATCATTAACTTATTCAGCAAATACTTATCTAGCACTTTTTATGTGCCAGGCACTGTTCTGGGTATAGTCACTGAAGCAGTGAAAGAAACATGACAAGGCACCCCACCTTGATTAGGACTGGGAGGTAAACAGCAAAACAGAGAGGGCTGACAGTGAAGATAAAGTGAGGACTGGAGCTGCCAAGCAAACAAGCATGCTTGGGCGGGATCTAAAAGAGGTGAAGGAGTTGCCATGAGGGTATCTATGGGCAAAAAGTAAATATAGCTATGGTGTCTGGTCTGTAGAATATGGTGATTTTAAAAAAATTTCCTAACTCAAATATGAACACATATAAAATGATACCATTAGCCATATTTAATGTAGTACTTCTCAAAAGTCTTCTTACTGAGTATTTTACCTAAGGAAGTTTAGGAATAATTTCTTATACCTTATTGCTTTGTTGGTGACCTTTTTTTTTTCTTCAAACAAAGTTATAATATGAATACTGAAAAGTAGAAAGTGATCTGAAAACTTATGAATGGAGAAAGAAAACTCAGGAGTCATCTGAATCTTAATCATAAGATGGGGTCTCACACACCATTTTCAAAATACAAATATATTTTTGTAAAAAATTTTAAGCACATATTACATTGCTCAGTATTTTTGCTTATGTGTACTTTCCATAGAAATGCATAGCCTTTATTCCACTTGATTCTCATTACAAGCATTTTTCTGTTTTTGCATATTCTCCATTGATTTTTTTAAAATATATTTTTATTGATGTCATAAAAGAAAGGAGAGAAAGAGAGAAACTTTAATGATGAGAATCATTGATTGGCTGCTTCCTGTTGACCCCCACTGGGGATTGAGCCCACAACCCAGGCATATGCCCTGACTGGGAATCACTGTGACCTCATGGTTCAATCACTGAGCCATACTGAACAGGCTCCATTATTTTTTAATGATTATAAAATATTACATAGTTATAGTGAAATTAGAGGTGCAGTACATGAAATTTGTGCACTCGGGGGGTCCCTCAACCCAGCCTGCGCCCTCTCGCAGTCCAGGAGCCCTCAAGGGATGTCTGACTGACAGCTTAGTCCCAGGGAGCGGGACTAAGCTGTCAGTAGGACATCCTTAGTGCTGCTGCAGAAGTGGGAAAGGCTCCTGCCACCCCCGCTGTGCTCACCAGCTGTGAGCAAAGCTTCTGACTGAGCAGGGGGAGTGCACTGACCAGCAGGGGGCAGCTTCTAGGTTGAGTGTCTGAGGTCATTGTGCATCATAGCTACTAGTCGTGCCGCTGTATGGTCGATTTGCATGGACCTAATTTTTTTTTCTATTGTATACTTAATTTACATCTTTTTCACTGGGAGATAATATATGGAAGCACTTGGCAATGTGTCTTCACAGAAGACTGAGTAACTATTGTTGAATGTGAATGGATGATGCTAAGCTGAGCATCTTGCCCGTAGTCTGAGGGAGAAATGAGTTCTTAGGAGCAACATTTCTTGATCAAGGGAATATGTGAATGTTTTCCTGACTCTCTAAACGTATATGGTATATTGCTTTCCACAGTGGCTCTACCAGTTCTGGAAGCTGCGTTGCTTTTTCAGTCCAAATCTTGAGGCACAATAAAATAGATTGCATGTGATGGCATCTCTTAAAATGCTCTTATTCCCTTTTTCTCATAAATAGCAAAGCCACCCCAAGAATTCAAATGACAAGCACCGTAGCAAAAAATGCAAAGACCCCAAACCACGGGTAAAGAAGTTGAAATATCACCAGTACATTCCCCCCGACCAGAAAGGTGAGAAGAGTGAGCCGCAGCTGGACTCCAACTACGCCCGCCTGCTCCAGCAGCAGCAGCTGTTCCTGCAGCTGCAGATCCTGAGCCAGCAACAGCAGCACTACAACTACCAGACCATCCTGCCTGCGCCACTCAAGTATGGGGCCGGGGCCGGGGCTGGCTTCTAAAGTGGGTTTTATTGTGGTTTTTATGAGGATCCATTAGTTACTGAAGGTTGGATGTTGTGATTTATTTGTGCTTAATGACCATTTTTATTTTATTACCATCAAAGCTTCTCATACAGTGTCTGAAGTCAGCACAGTGAGAATAGCTTGCATGCCACTCGGTTTTGTCCTCCTAAGTCGGCTCTGAATTTTAAAGTTAGAAGTGACTTTTCACAATTATGCATTCAATAAAGATTTGCCTAGTGGTAAATGCTATGAGAAAGCATAAGAGCTGGTAAAACAGGACCATAAAACTTGGAGTGGTCAAAGTTTTATGAAAAAGGCTGGATGTGTATGTGGGAAAGGGCCTGGAATGGGAAGGGCCCTCTGAGCAAAGGGGACGATATGAGTGGAGGTACAGAGTGCAGTGCCTGTTTATTGGATTGTGAGAAGAATGGCCTGTTGAATAACAAACATGACTTGTTTTTAAAGAAAGTGGAGGACAGAATTGAGTAGGCCCGATGTCTGCAGGAACCTGAAATCGGGCCAGCTCTACTCTTGATGTGGTAGTTGTTTCAGAGGCTGCACTGACGTGGTAAAATCAACATGCAGGAAAGAATCATTTGACGCCAGTACCGAAGGGAGGTCTGGAAATAGGAAAACCAGTTGGGAATTTTGCAGTAAAGTAGATCCCAGAAGATGAAATGGCAATGATAATGGAAAAGGAGGAACAGGACAGAAGTCCCAAAAGACAGTGAATGAAAAGTCTTTGTGACCAACAGCCATGGAGAAGAAACATTTTTCCACAGTTTGAGCCCAATTGGGAGGGAGTGAGTGAGTGAGTTCTGGCAGTTTCTGCGATTGAATCCATAGTAAGACATCCATGGCTTGTTTTAATTATGTAATAAAAGAAATTTATGCATCCTCAAATACTTTTTCTAGGAAACAGGTAAAAATGCAAAGCCCCCATCCTTCACTTTGTTCACTTTTTAGGAGGAAGGGATATTTATATTCAACTTGGAAAAGAAACCCTAGAAAAAGATCAAATTTCATACAGGGAAAAATTATTCTCTAGTTCAAGCCCCTCGACTTGTAATCACATGATCTGGAGACACAGAAGGCTAAGCATTCCTCCCAGGAGTGGAAAGCAAGACCCACTAAGCAGCTTCTCTGTAAGAAGGACCTCCGCATATGTTTTCTTGCAAGAACCAAATATGTCAAGAAAGGTTAGACTAGTCAGTCATTCAGACTTTACTGTGAAGCACTGAAATTTACAACATCAGGGCACGGAGATGAAGGAAGGAAGAATCTTGTAGCGTATTATTATTTTAAGAGCTAGCAAGCCTGAGACAGCTGTTGACATTGGCAGGGGCCCAGGAAGATCAAGAGCTGAAAGAGCATCAGAAACGAAAGGTGCCACTTGGCTGCTCTGTCCATGTCGGTGGTATCCCCACTGCCTCCACCCTCCTTGGGCTCCATGATAGTAACAGCAAAGATGCCCCAAGCAGTGTGCTCAGCACCTCACATCATCATCATCCACATGGTTACTATCCGGGGACCAATATTGTTGATTCCTTTCCCAGGCGAGGAAACTGGTCAACTGAAACCCCATAAAAGGATTTTTTGTGCTGTCTGTCTATGGAATAGTCTTTCCTGTAATGAACGGTATTGGGTGTATGGGACTGGCTTTGTAGATGAGAAGAATACATCTGAGGAGTGGGTTTCTGAACTCTACAGTTCTTCGTTTTCCCAAGGCTTCCAGTCCCCAGTCCTCCGCAAACATTCCCACCACTGAAGTGACCGAGCCAAGCCGTCAAGGAAAACTTCACACAGGAAGACCCAGTGACCAGGAGGAGGCAAGACTATGGTTCTTCAGTGCTGTCTCACCACACGAGGACTGAACACCAGTTCTGTTTAGCTTCCAAGTCCTAGAAATGGAGCTGGCTTTAACACTTTTTTTTTTTACCAAAACTCCATTATGAGAAACTAAATGTGGAAGTACTGCAGTGCCTGCAGTAGTGGGATTTTCTTGATAATGCAGCCTTTGGTACCATGGAAGGAACAAGAGCCTGAATGCACAGGGCTGTAATCCCACACACTGGCTGAAGGTTCCTGGAAGGTCATGCCATCTCTCTCAACTTCAGGTTTCTCATCCACACAATGATCACATTTATCCCCTCCTAACTTCCTCTTTTTTCCTCTTGATTTGGGGGAAAAAATAGGTTAATTTATTTCCATTACTTTAAAGGTTGAATTAAACACTGAACTGTTCATCATAGTAACTAGGAGTATTGTAGAATTTCAACCAAAAAGAGCATGAATAGAATAATTCACTGAAATTATGTATTCTCGAGATTATCTCATTCACAAGGGACCAAAAGTTGGTTGAGGGGAAGCTTACATTTTTATTTAATAAAGCACATACATAGATACAATACATAGATAAGCACTGCAGCATAGCCATGGTATTAAAATTTCATAGGGAGAGCAATAAGAAAAAAGTGTCTAAAAAGGCTCCTTACAGGGACAATATGAATGCTAGAGGCCCGGTGCACGAGACCGTGCATGGGGACAGTCCCTAGGCCTGGCCGGCAATCGGAAGTGTGAGTGTCTGGCGTCGAGGGCAGGTCCCAGTTGATCTCTTGCCCTAGGCAGCCCCTGGGGCTCCATGCGTCCCCTCCTCCATGGGCCTCAGTTTGGTGCAGACAGGCCTTTAGGGAAATTGGTACAAAAGCACCTAACTTTGGAACTTGACAACTGACTAACCAACATTTTTTAATAAACTTTTAAAATGAAGTATATCTTACATACAGAAAGTCCATAAATTGTAAGTAAAAATTAATGCCAAAGTAAGCGTGCCCATATTACCACCTACATCAAGAAGTAGGACATGCCCTGGCCAGTTTGGCTCAGTGGATAGAGCATCAATATGTGGACTGAAGGGTCCTGGATTTGATTCTGGACAAGGGCACATGCCCGGGTTGTGGGCTCGATCCCCAGGAGGGGGCATGCAAAAGGCAGCAGATCAGTGATTCTCTCTCATCATTGATGTTTCTATTTCTCTCTCTCCCTTCCTCTCTGAAATCAATAAGAATATATTTTTGCCCTAGCCATGTGACTCAGTGGATAGAGCGTTGGCCTGCGGGACTGAAAGGTCCCGGGTTCGATTCCAGTCAAGGGCATGTACCTTGGTTGCGGACACATCCCCAGTGGGGAGTGTGCAAGAGGCAGCTGATGGATGATTCTCTCTCATCGATGTTTCTAACTCTCTATTCCTCTCCTTCCCTCCCTGTAAAAAAATCAATAAAATACATATTGTTATAAAAAAATATATATTTTTTAAATGACATTGTATAAATTAATTTAAAAAAGAAGAAGAATTAGAACATTATCATAAGCCCGGGTCAAGTAGCTTGGTTGGTTGGAGCATTGTCCCGATAGGCCAAGGTTGCGGGTTTGGTCCTCAGTCCAGACACATACAGTAATCAACGAATAAATGCATAGATAGGTAGGAACAGCAGATCAATGTTTCTCCTTTTCACGCTCTAATATTAAATTTAAAAAAATTTTAAAGAAAAGCAACATTATCAGTCCCTCTCTCGGTGACTATCCTGACTTATATCCTATAGATTAGTTTTGCCTGCTTTTGAACATTATATAAATGCAAATCTATAGTACACATGTGTGTCTGGCTTCTTTTCTCATCATTATGTTTGTGAGATGCATCTTCACTGGTGCAAATAGCAGTTCATTTTTATTGCTGACTGGTATCCTGTAATTTATCCATCATACTCTTGATGGACAGTTGGGTTGCTTCCAATTGAGGATGATATGAAAAATGACATAATATCCTAGTCTGCATCTTATGGCTGACAAATGTATGTCTTTGTCAGGTGTCTGTCAGGAATGGAACTGGTGGGTCAGAGGATAGGCATGGGTTAAGTAGATACTGTGAAATAGTTCTCCAGTGTGGTTGTCCCAATGCACAGTCTGGCAGTGTGTATGCGAGTGTCCTGACTGTTCCAAGTAGTTGGTATTGGCGGTGTTATTCTAGCAGCAATCCTTCTGGATGTGCGGTGTTGTTCTGTTGTGCATTTCATTTGCATTTTCCTCCTGCCTGTTGAGGTTAAGGTCTTGTTCACATGTTTATTGACCATTTGGGTATATCTTCTTGTGATATGCTTACCCAGGATTTTCCCATTGGGTTTTCTGTCATTTTCTTACTGATTTGCAAGACTCTTAGTATATTGTAGATATGAGGCCTTTGTCGGGGAAAAAAAATATATTACAAATATTTCTTCAGTGGCTTTGGCTTGTCTTTTCAACCTCTTTATTTAGTGCTTTTTGTGTCCTGTTTAAGAAATATTTTCTATCCAAAGGCCATGAAGATATTATCCTAGTTTCCTTCTAAAAGCTTTATTGTTTTCAAAATTCACATTTAGGGATTTTGTTTTTATTAATCCTTGCCTAAGGATATTTTTCCTTTTTTTATTTTTTTATTTTTTTTTGAGAGGGGGGGGGGGGGAAGGGGGGAGGGAGGGAGGGAGGGAAGGAGGGAGGGAGGGAGAGAGAGAGAGAGAGAGAGACATTGATGTAAAAAAGACACATCGACAGGTTGTCTAGGGCCACATTTAGGTTTTTGAAGATGATATGAGGTAGGGATTCATCAGGAGCAGTATTTTTTCCAGTGTGGCCAGTATCATTTAATAGAACTGCTGTGGGTGTCACCAATGTATGTAGGGTCTGTTTCTGCATTTTCTGATCTTGATGTGTCTGAGGCTTTGTCCTTGCACCAGCACCACACCATGTGAGTAACTGGCTTTGTAATAACTGTCAGTGTCTGGTGGTATGGCTCTCCCAGCTTTGCTTTCCTTCTTTAGAGTTGCCATGGCCATTCTTCGTGCTTTGCATTTCCATATAAAGGTTAGAATCACTTTAAATCTCTACAAAGCAAGCAGAACCTGCAGGAATTTTTATTGGGACCTGATTTGATTGACTTCTTTACCATATTAAGTCCTCCAATTCATGTCTATGGTATTTTTCTCCTCCTCACTTAATAGTCACATTTTTAGCAGAAGCAATGTCAAATTCAGAAATTATCTATATATATATTGTAAAAAGCTAAGTGACTGACCATGTGACTGACTGACCAGCCGGTATATATAACACACATTGGCTATTAAAAATAAATGTTGACTCGCGCATGCATGATACATATAAAGCTCTCACTGGCACAATCATACACATGTGTTTCAATTTGTCATTGTGAATCATGAATTTGGTTGTTTTTGTTGACATTCTGAAGCTGAAAGAAAGCGGTATCATCAAAAGAATATGTCTGAAGACTAACTACTGGCACAACATACCTCTGAAGCCTAAAGAAGCCAGCATCATCGACAAAATGTATCTGAAGACCAACTATTTTATAATGTACCTCTGAAGCTGAAAGTGATTCCATCGATTCAACGGATGATGCTGATAAGGAAAATTTTTCCATCGAATTTCTAAATAATAATACTCCTTCAGGAATGCCATGTATAAATTAAAATTAAAAGTAGGTGCAATCACCATGCTACTGAGAAATCTTAATAGTAAGTGGGGTCTTTGTAATGGTACTAGATTTATTATCACAATATTGCAACCTGACAATAAGTATTAATAGGATCTGCAGGAGGAGAGGTTGTCCTGATTCAAAGAATTGATTTGTCCCCATCTGATACTGGCCTCCCATTTAAATTAATTCAAAGACAGTTTCCCGTGATGCCAGCATTTGCAATAACTATAAATAAGTCACAAGGACAAACTCTAGACAGAGTAGCAATATTCCTTATTGAACCCGTTTTCGGTCATGGTCAGTTATATGTTGCTTCTTTTTGAGTTTGAAGAGTATGTGATAAAATTTTAAATACTTCATCACAAAGGAAATTAGTCAAGCACTCTGCAAGTATCTTTACTCTTAATGTGGTATACAGGGAGATATTAGAATAAGTTTAATCAATTTATCAGTCATTTTTATCAATGTTATATCATGTTTTTTGTTTTTATATCATGTCTTTGTTATATCATGTTATTTATTAATTTATATATTATTTTCATATACATCTTACTAATTTTCTTTCATCTCTGACACTTCTATTATAAAGGGCAGATAGCGATATTAAAATATTCTAATTAATTTCCTTTCACTGTGCACGAATCTGTGCACCAGGCCACTAGTTTTATTATACACTCTAATTTTCTTTTTCTTTTGAAGGCCACTCAATGACAAAAATAACAACAGTGGCAATTCAGCTTTGAACAATACTACACCTAACACACCAAGACCGAATGCATCTGCTCCTGTGAGGAAGCCAGGACCTCTGCCTCCCAGTTTGGATGATTTAAAGGTGATGATTCCAAGTAGAGTCTATTTACCCATTGTACCACAGAAGTGTAAATGATGATTTGCCAGATTTGTCTAGCAAGTAGTTTTCAGTATACACTGAGTGGCCAGATTATTATGACCTCTGAAGGCATAATAATCTGGTCACTCAGTGTATATCCTATATAATAAAAGGCTAATATGCAAATTGTCCCCTCAACCAGGAGTTGGGCCAGCAGGCAGGCCAGTCAACCACCCATGTCCCCTCCCCCTGGCCAGGCTGGCCAGACCCCACCTATGCACGAACTCACGCCCCAAGTCTCTAATATACGTATATGTATATGTATATGTATACACACACACACACACACTCACTCTCTCTCTCTCTCTCTCTCCTCTCTCTCTCTCTCTGAGTGGCCAGATTATTATGCGTTCAGAGATCATAATAATCTGGCCACTTGGTATACATTCAACTTTACCAACTATATGATAACCCTTATAGAGGTACTTTCCTTTCACGTCCATTAAGTTTATTTTACAGTGTTATTACAATGACCAGTAATAACTCTCATTTATTGAGCATATGCTATGTGTCAGCACCATACCTGTTCTGACTCTAGAGGAAGATTTTTTCCTTCCCTGCTCATTGCCAAGTCTGGGAAAAGCAGGGAAACGTAACAGTTAAGAATGTGATCTCAGGGCAGCCTTTCTGGGTTTCTGCCCCAGCTCAGCTTTCTGTTGTCTGTGTAGCTTGGACTAGTGATTCAGCCTCTCTTTCTTTGATCTCCTCAACTTTAAAATGGAAACAATAATACCAATACCTCATGTGAAGGTTAATTGAAAGAATAAACCACTTCCAACAGTGTCTGGCACATAGTAATTACTCAATAAATGTAGCTGTTATCATTTCTGGTAGTAAATCATTTCTTTGACACAACAGAGGAATTGCCCTCTAAAAACCCTTGTTTATTATCACTGGCCTTCCAAATTCTTCAGGGCTGTAAAGTGAAATGGCCCCACTTTCAGCTGTGCAATAATATGGAGTTGTCATCCTATAGATTTGTCAGAAAGCTATACCAGACACAGAGAGCTGATGGGTTTGTTCTTCCAGGTATCAGAACTGAAAACAGAACTGAAGCTGAGAGGTCTTCCAGTGTCAGGCACCAAACCAAACCTTATCGAACGCTTGAAACCCTTCCAGGAGATGAACAGCAACGGAGCTGCTGCTGATGGCATCGTGGCCGTGTCAACAGCTGCTGTCATCACCAGCAGCCCAGAAGTCACCATGGCAGTGCCAGTCACCACCCTGCATAACTGTGTGGCAAGCTCGGGCTCCCCTCTCAAGGCAGAACTGCCCTCTGCTGGAGCCAGCAATATGATCCACGTGGAGAATGTTAACTCGCCTCTGCCAATCTCACCATCTCCCTCCGAACAGTCCAGTCTCAGCACCGAGGACACAACCATGGCCGACACTTTCACTGAGATTATGACCATGATGTCTCCATCCCAGTTCTTGTGTTCATCTCCGTTGAGAGTGACCAGTAACGAAGACAGCCTGAGTCCCACCAGCAGCACTCTGTCCACTCTGGAACTGGATGCAGCTGAGAAGGATCGCAAGCTTCAGGAGAAAGAAAAGCAGATCGAAGAGCTAAAGAGGAAATTGGAACAAGAGCAGAAGCTCGTGGAAGTTCTGAAAATGCAACTGGAGGTTGAAAAACGAGGGCAGCAGCAGCGGCGGCCACTGGACCCCCAGCCCAGCGCCCCTGCTCATTCTGTCAGCCAGTCAGAGCAGAAACAGGGCAGTGTGGGCTCCTTCGTCAAAGATGAGACCTCACTCGCTGACTGCTCCAGCCCCAGGAAGCCTGTCCCGGTAGCCAGCCATCCTGTGGGGCAGCCTGTCTCTGTAGGTGGCCAGACCCTTGTCACCAAAAAGGCTGTGGTGATCAAGCAAGAGGTCCCTGTGGCCCAGGCAGAGCAGCCAAGCGTGGCCCCACAGTTCTACGTGAGTTCCCAGGCACCGCCACCGCCACCGCCTGCTGTTGTCGCTCAGCCGCAGGCTCTGCTGACCACGCAGACTGCTCAGCTGCTGCTCCCAGTGTCCATCCAGGGCTCCAGTGTCACCTCTGTGCAGCTCCCCGTGGGCAACCTCAAACTGCAGGTGTGAAGTTTGTCTTCTAACTACTTGCCTTGCAGCCCACATGGAATGGAGCTTTTTCATAGATGCATCCGAATCAGGCTTCACGGCAGAAAACTGTGTTGGTGGGCTGTGGTGGGGAGACATTCAAGAATTTGAACACCAGCGCTCTTTTTAGATAGTAAAAAAGTGGGGGTACTTTTCTATTTGTTACCTTTTACTTTTAATGAACACATTTACATGTTGTTTTTACATACCTATGACATTATCATGATAACTACTGTTACTGAGTATTTTTAATGCACAAGGCATAGCCTCAACTATTTTAAATAGCTTACTTCATTTACTCCTCCCTTCCCCCAGAAAATCTAAGGATAAACCCATTTCTAGATAAGGAAACTGAGGCCCTTGAGTTTGGCAAGTTGCCGAGGACAGAACTAGTGTTTAAACCTCAGCCTTTTGACTCTGATGTTCTGTCTCCCACGTGTCCCTGAGAGGCACCATCGATGGGAAGGTGCCTGCATTAAGGAAAAGGCCCCCCCCAGAGTCAGAGGGAGGGCGTTACTGGTATAATGTCCTTTTATGCCCACGTAACCTGTGCATTGGCCCTACGTTGTTATGTAATGTGATTCCAATGGGTTTTAACAAACTGGGGGCCACGTATAGTGCTCCTCAGCCTTGACCACCCAGATATCCTGAGCAGAGTGACCCACAGGCCCTTGGCATTGGTGAAAACCCTAATTCCCATTTTACCTTTAAGAGTCTGTGAAATGGAAAGCTGCTCTTTAATGTAGTTTTCCTAAACTTTTCTGTCCAAATCTTCCCTGAGGATTGACATTTAGGCGAAGAACCTCATTTTCTTCTGGGCTTGTGTGCGCCAGCACGTGGCTGACTGTCACCAGAGAGTGGACGCATTGCAGCTTAAACGCAGGGATTTAGACTCTTGGGCTTCAGTTTCCCTGCCGCTCTTAAAATTATTGACACCTGACCTATTAGGAGTAGAGCCGCTACAGGTTCTTATCTCAGTTTTCTATTCTCACAAAATTTTCAAATGAATGTCTTAGTCACTTAAGGAATAATAAGAGCATGAAAATAACTGGTCTGGTGTTTAACTCTATGGTTCAGAATTGTTAAGGCTCAAATTTAGGTACTGATGAGTTAAAGTGTGCATCTATAAACATTTTATCTTATTTTATTTTAGATAAAATCCCCCAAATGACCAGTTATCTCACACCTAACTCTGGATTCTAACTTTGATTTTGACAATTAAATTGGCTTATTTGTTGATTTTGCCTCCTAGACTCCACCACAAGCAGGAGTCCAGACTCAGCCTCAGATAGCAACCACCACCTTGTCCTCAGGCTTGGCACAGACTGCGCCTCAGCAACCAGGCACGTTCGCACCGCACGTGCTCAGTCAGCCGCAAGTCAGAAAGGTTGGTGAACACTAAAGGGTGACAGACGGGGCTGACTGGTCCCTCATCTGCTCGACACTCAGCATCTTCACAGGAGCCTCCTCGGGGAGCTCCCTGTGTTCTCTCTACGATCCATCTCATCTCCCACCTCCCGCCACGGGAGCCTCAGGTCAGATGCCATTTGTCTGCAGATTGTCCAAGTATTTGGAAAGGGAGTTCTTTATTACTAAAAGATAGCTTGTCTTAACAGTTCAGCTCCTTTTCTAAGTAAAAGTTTCAAAGGTACTTTTTCAATCTTTATATGTAGAATCCTCTTGGGTTTAAATTTTTCTTAAATTAACCATTTTTGTAGGGGAAAGTGCTATTCCCTGGGAAGAGATACTTGAAGATGAAAAAGACAGTTCCTGAAATGTATCTCTTGAGTGAGACGTTTCTGTATTTTCAGTTTGCCATCTCATGGATTGAGAACCAGATGGCCTGGTTCTGGCTATCATTTTGGTTCAGCTACATGATGGGCCTTGTGCACAGTTCACTGGCTTTCTCTGAGTGTCAGTTTTCTCATCTTTAAAATTATGCTGTTGATCAAGGGCTCACTGTCCCCTAAAGGAGTTCCGCTTAAAAAACCTGTTAAGTAGCCCCAATAGTTGCCAGACTTCCCACCATCCAATAGGTGGAGCTGTGTGCACATCTCCTTGCCAGAAAAATCCCAAGGCCTCAAAAGGTCTTACTATGACAAACCTTGAGAATTAGTATTAGTCCCAGAATTTCCATCTTTAACATAAAGGAACCCAGATAACTAGATAGACCTGTCAGTATGTCTCAGGGGTGGGGTGAGCTGTCTGGACTGAGAGCTTGAGGGACAGACAGAAAAGACCTGTCAGGTCAGAAGAGGCACATTAACACACATGTTCTCTTTTGGACTCTCCTCTGAAAAATGCAGAGTTCTAGCTACATATTATTTTGGGCTGAAAATGACATTTTAGTGTAGTGATAAGCTTACTGAATGTTCAAATGTTGAGACAGTTTTGTTTTAGGGGGGAAGAAAAACATTATCTAGACAGGATAAATAAGGACTTATTCACTGAATCTCAGAATGCCAGAATTAGGGATCATTACTCCCAATTTAAAGAAAGAAGTTTTTGTGTATGTTTTACTAAGTATTAGGAAATTCAGTCTTTTAAAAAGGTCTTGACAGAGAAGTTGTATTGTTTAGAGCAGTAGTTGGCAAACTCATTAGTCAACAGAGCCAAACATCAACAGTACAACGATTGAAATTTCTTTTGAGAGCGGAAAACCGACTTCTGCACATGGGCCACGAAGTTTCGATCGCACTGTACGTGCACTCCCACACGTGGTATTTTGTGGAAGAGCCACACTCAAGAGGCCAAAGAGCCGCATGTGGCTCGCGAGCCGCAGTTTGCCAACCACTGGTTTTAGAGGACTATAACCACACACACACCTACTTTCATGTTTAAGAAATACTCATTATAATAAAAATACAGGGGGTAAGTTTTTCTCTCTTGGAATACGAGGGCATAAAGTATATAAAACATTTTTATGAGCAAACCAGTTCTGTGAAATACAGTTAAATATCAATAATCTGGCCATACATTTGTAAAAAGCCTTAAAACATTTGGCTCTTAAAGGGACTAAACAGAACACTTTGCAGTTAGTTCCACAGGAAGAAATCTCACCTTTGCCCAATGGATCAGACAGCTTCTCAGGAGGAGGCAGATTTTAAATGGGGCTTTGCGAGGATTTGGAGAAATTTCTAAGCAACTGGAAAACTGAGCATGGCCACAACATGTGTGGCCTTTCAGGTAGCATGGAAAAGGGCCAGGTAGTGAGAAGGTTTGCATGTCAGCCAAAGGTTAGCTTTTACCCCAAGAAAGAGGAGCTGGTGAGTGGCAGAGCTCCCTCAGGTATGTGCTCAGACTGTATTGTCCTGGAGGGGACAAGACTGTACTGACAGGCAGGGGGCATGGCCTGGTTGCTGGGCAGGATTCCAGTGGCAGATAATAAGGACCTGGATTAGGACAGCAAAGAACAGAGGCCTGATCCCAGGGTCATTTCTAAGAAAGGTGAGCTCTGAGGAGAGGAGGCAGAGTACATGTTCAGCTGGGGCCTCTGAGTATACAGGAGGCCACGGGTTTACAGGAGAGGGTGGCTCAATTACTAAAGTTTAAAGGAATATGAAGACAGAACCAGCACTTACTTTCCCTCAGAGGCTAGGGATGGAGGGAAGAAGGGAAAAGTTTAGTTTGGAATATATTACATTTGAGATGTCCCAAATTTATGTTTGTAAATTTGTCTCTGGCACCTCGGAGCAAGGTTGGAAGAGAGAAGTAGGCTTAGGATCGTTAGATTCATCGTCAGCAGCAGAGCCAGGAGAAAAGATGCGATCACCCTAGCGAGGAATATAAGAAGTTCAGCTGTCGTTTACTAGGGAAATTATGCTGAGGAAATGCTGCTTTCCCAAAAAAACAGTCATGCTGCCATCAAAGATGAGCAAAGGGACCACTGATGCTGAGTGGGGTGGCAAACCATGCCTACGGGCCCAATCCAGCCCTGCCCGTTTTTGTAGATGAAGTTGTACCGGTACCCGCCCCACACATTTATTTGCATGTTGTCCAGGCCACGTCTGTGCTATAACAGCAGAGAGGAGCGATCACCATGGAGACAGCACAGCCCACAAACCCTCACCTGTATACCCTGTGGCCCTTGGCAGAAAAAATTAACCGACCTGTTTTAAAACATGGTTTTCTTTAGTAGGACGGGCATACTGATGGGAAAATACTTCTTCGTTACAGGTTTTCACAAGCTCGGCATCCAATACAGTTCTTCCATATCAGAGATCACCGGCTCCAGCGGTCCAGCAGCCCTTCGTTAACAAGACGTCCAGCAGCGTTCTCCAGTCCAGAAGTGCGCCCCTTCCGTCCCTGCAAAACGGACCGAGCCCGCCCAGCAAGGTAAGCCTGCGGCCACTGCCACAGTGACACACTTACTGGGTAAGGCCGTCCCACAGCCAGAGCTTTAGGCTGGGAGTGACTGAGATCAGTGTTCACGGGGAGATAGCTGAAACTGTCACAGCAAAGACAGCCTCACAGGTAGGTCTTCGGCCAGACGCCTCACCGACCCAGGAGGTCCCTGGTGAGGAAAGCGGAGCTGGTGCCAGCCAGGCATGAGGAAGCTCCCTGCCAGAGCTGACATGTGCTCCCCTCTGTGTGCCACAGCCGAGCTCACCCCTGCCACCCCAGCAGTTTGTCGTCCAGCACTCTCTGTTTGGGAGCCCGGTCCCCAAGACGAAAGACCCGCCGCGCTACGAGGAGGCCATCAAGCAGACACGCAGCACCCAGTCCTCTCTCCCAGAGGTAAGTGCGCCCAGTGGCTTCTGTCCTCTGTCATCCTCACATTGAATCCTCTTCTAAGTTCGTGGCTAGGAGCCTTGTTTGCATTTTAAATGTAAAGACCCCAACTTCCAGGCAGGTTTCAACAGCTGTGTAACCTGCAATTACTCGGAAATTTGGGATTTGTCTTTTAGCTCTCCTTTGGGGCCGAGGGATGGGTTGTATTAGGGTAGATGTGATTGTTACATGGGTCCCTCTTTTCTTTTTCCTAAATAAGATCCTCCTCTAAGGGAAACAGACAGGTTGATGTATTTTTCTAAGTCAGCTGTAACCATGTCTTCTAAGTACTCTTAGATTTAGAGACATATCAATGTGTCTGAGGTTTTGAAACAATCTGATGTCAGTTTTATCCTGTGTTCTTGAAGAGCTTATTACTAACATTTCACTAAACATTTATGTTTTGCTCACATCTAGTCTCTTAGAAAAAAGTTATGCAAATATTTTTCAATTATAAAAAAATAGAGAAAATTACCAGTGGTCCTACCACCCAGAATCCTTTTATTAATATTCTGCTGTATATAACACATTTTTATGTTTATAAAATCTTTAAGATATATTTGGACTCATACTTCTTAACTCAGTCTTTTAAATGAATATGTTTATTGAATAAGATGCAGCAAAGTGAGTACTGTATATAACTTTTTTTAGTGGATATACCTTTTTTTTATTTCCATCATCCAGACCCTTCCTATTGGCAACCACCAGCTTGTTCTTTATATCTATGAGTCTGTTTCTGGAGGTTTTTCTTCATTTATTTTGGGCTTTTTATATTCCACATATAAATGGGATCATACAGTAACTGATTTCTGGAAGGTAGGAGGAGAGGATCTATCTTCACAAAAAACACACGATGTCAGGTACGAAAATCTCTAGATTAGAAAGGACATTTTATTTTACTTTTCATTCACATTGACATGCACTATTATATTACTTTCAGGTGTGCAACATACTTTTACACATTTTTATAACTGACAAATTGATCATCACAAGAATAGCAGTTTTGTAACTTATTTTATACATTATAATCAAAGGACAAGAATTAAGGAGGGTTATCTGAAATCCACTGTTGGTAAATTAAGGAGGCGGGAGAAGTTATATAGAGAAACACATACCTCTTTTACAGCACATAGATATCGTATCAAGGAACAAGGGAACACTGAGGGGTTCCATGGTCTTGTGCCAGTGGTTGTGCCTTTAGGAGGAAAATAAAATTGCTCTGATCTGTTATCTTAGATGCATAAAAACAATGGACAGGGCTCGCTCAAGGTAAGCATTGACCTTTGCTATCAGCTGGCTATGAGTCAAGTCAGGTTCCCGGGCTGAAGAAATTGCAAGGAGGCTAGTCGCTAGGGAGAGGAAGCCAGGCATTGTTACATGACTTCATTACCTGGACAGTCAGATACTTAGCATATTAGCCTTTTATAAAGGATACAGGAAATAAAGGGATCAGTATGTTTACAGAAGTTTTATATTTTACCAGAGGCCCATTGCACAGATTCATGCACATTGAAAAGAAAATTAATTAAAAGAAGTACTTGAGAAGCCAGGGAGAGACTGTGGGAGGGCTCCAGGCATGCCCAGCCCCGATCAGCTGGACCTCAGCAGCAAGCTAACCGACTGGTCGGAGGGTCTGCCCCCCAGGTGGTCAGAGCGCATCATAGCAACCGGTCGAACAGTCGGACACTTTGCATATTAGGCTTTTATTATATAGGATATGCAGCATTAAGTAGCTTATGAAAAATTAAGAATGTATATTGTATAGATAATAGTTAATTAAGAATGTATATTGTATAGATAATAGTTAACTATAGCTTTTAAAAAATAAATTGTAGAGGACATATAGAAGTATAGCTCTTTTTAAAAACTATACTTCTTAACTGTTATCTATACAATGGAATACTATGCTGCGGTAAAAAAGAAGGAACTCCTACCATTTGCAACAGCATGGATGGACCTAGATAGAGTATCATGCTAAGCAAAATAAGCCAGTTAAAAGGAAAATATCACAACCTCACTCATTTGTGGAATATAATGAACAACATAAATAGATGGGAAAAAATATTTTAGAATATAATAGAAGCAATCCTGTATTTGCAGATTTTTAATATTTCCTACAACTTTTGTGATATCATACTATGTTAGTAATAGTACAGTGTTGATAATATATTTAAAATCCTTTTTTAAATATTAATGTTTATTGCATGTAATATATTTAAGATAATTCTTGAATTGGTGTTTACTGCATGTAACATTATATTTAAAATCATTTTGCATGAGATATTAAGTGTTTATTGCATGTTACATTATATTTAAAATCATTCTTCTTGAAGTAAAAAAAATTCCCATTTGGGAATAAATAAAATGCCTTCTATTATATATACACTGAGTGGCCAGATTATTATGATCTCTGAACACATAATAATCTGGCCACTCAGTGTATATCCTATATAATAAGAGGCTAATATGCAAATTGTCCCCTGGACCAGGAGTTCGACCAGCAGGCTGGCCAACTGCCCATGTTCCCTCCTCCTGGCCAGACTCCACCCATACACGAGTTCATCCACTGGACCTCTAATACACACACCCTGAGTGGCCAGATTATGCACTCAGAGATCATCATAATCTGGCCACTCAGGGTGTGTGTGTGTGTATATATATAAATATATACACACACACCCACATACATGCAAAGTTGGAATCTGTTTTACATTTTAAAGCAACTTAAGTATTATTCTACTAAATTTATGCCATAAATTGAGATGAGCAAAAGGATAATAAAAACTCACACTGGCTTGGAAAAAAAAGAACATTCTCCAGCCAAGCCTGGAGATGGCTGAAACCTGGCCAACATCTTGACTACAATCTCATGAAAGACCCCAAACCAGAACTACCCATCTATACCATTCCTAAACTCCTGATTCAGAAACTGTGAGATAATAACTGTCTGGCATTTTTAGCCACGAAGTGTTTTAGAAGTTTTATGATAACTAATGTGTGCATCTACAAGAAGCATACTTTAAAGACAAAGACACAGGTTGAAAGTAAATGGTTGGGAAAAGATGTACCAGTAAGCATAAGAAATCTGGAATAGGCAAAGGATTTGAACAGACACATCACCAAAGAAAGATAAAGAGATGGCAGAGAACCACGTGAAAAGATGCAACATCAAATCATTAGGAAATACACATTAAATCCACAGTGCAATACCACTATAGGCCGATTAGCTGTCTAAATTTTTTTTAAATATATTTTATTGATTTTACACAGAGAGGAATAGAGAGTTAGAAACATCGATGAGAGAGAGACATCGACCAGTTGCCTCTTGCAAACCCCCCCTGGGGATGTGCCCGCAACCAAGGTACGTGCTCTTGACTGGAATCGAACCTGGGACCTTTCAGTCCGCAGGCCGACGCTCTATCCACTGAACCAAACTGGTTTTGGCTAGCTGTCTAAAATTAAAGTGACTCACTGTACTAAGTGTTGGAGAGAATGAAGAGCTATTGGAAATCTCGTACATTGCTAGTGGAAATGTAAAATGTGCAAATCACTTTGGAAAACAGCCATTTCTTAAAAAGTTAAACACCTATGATCCAGTCATTCCACTCTCAGTATTTACACACAAATACGGAGATTTGTATACAAATGTTCATAGCACACAAATGTTCATAGCACCTTTATCTATAGTAGCCAAAATGTAGGAACAACCCAATCAGAAAGTTCTCAGCGATAAAAAGGAATGAACTATTCCTGAAGTATAATCTACAACATGGATAAACCTCAAAATCCTATTGAGTAAAAGAAGCCACTCCCTCTACTCTATGAGTCCATTTCTATAAAACTCTAGACAAGTAAGTTAATCTGTAATGGGAGAAATCAAGTCATTGTCGCCTAGGGATGAAGGAAGTGCTATCACAAAGAAGCACAAGGAAGCTAGAAGCAATAGAATATCTTGATTTTGCTGATAATTTTATGGGTGTATACATATGACAAAACTTAAAGAATTGCATAATTCATATAACTGCAGGTTATTGTATGTTAATTTACTCTCAATAAAGCTCAAAAAATATAGATGGCCACCTTTATATATACTTTATATTATATTTTTACCAGAATGCAAGTGAGTTAAAATATTTTTAAAATATGAGAAGCCTCTCAAAATGTACTCAATGTACAAGTCAGTGTAAAAGTCATCTGAGCTGGGTATTAGCCCCATTCTTGTTCTGTCAGCCAACACATGGGTGAAAGGTCTAACTTCTCAGGGGACTTCAGTGTTTTCAAAATGAGCAAGTGATTGATTAGAACTAGCTGTCTGTAAGGTCCTTTGGTGCTCCCAGTTATATGACACTTCCTGGTTTGTATAAAAGAAAGCTAAAAGAAAGCTAATTTATATTGTCCTTGGTTGTAGGTTTCCAATGCACACAGTCAGCAGATGGACGACCTCTTTGACATCCTCATTAAGAGTGGAGGTAGGTGGAAAGTCACATCAGACCCCATATCCCTTGTCACAAGATGTGAGCGTTTTCCTCTAGAGCAGTGGTCGGCAAACTTGTTAGTCCACAGAGCCAAATATCAACAGTACAGTGATTGAATTTTCTTTTGAGAGCCACATTTTTTAAACTTCTTCAACACCACTTCTTCAAAATAGACTCGCCCAGGCCGTGGTATTTTGTGGAAGAGCCACACTCAAAGGGCCAAAGAGCCACATGTGGCTCGTGAGCCGCAGTCAAAGGGCCAAAGAGCCACATGTGGCTCGTGAGCCGCAGTTTGTCGACCACGGCTCTAGAGCTTCCATATTTTCCTAACTGCATTTCCTGTTTTAAAATCTGTTACATTTAGGCCATTAATACAACTTTCTTATGAATGGGGAAAGCCATTGATTCAGGTAAAAATACTAAGATAACGTTAGATTTACCCACAGATATATACCTGCTGAAAAGACAAACCATCTCAAAATAGCAAAGTAGACAGATATGAATTCCACATTGAAAACTTCAGAACTGCTCCATGTGTGGTATCAGCAATTGCAAGGGGATAAAAATATTCCAATTCACGAGTTATTTGTAACAACCGAGTCACCTAGCTTAGGATCAAATAACTTGATTAATATTCAAAGGCAATTCTAAAACACTTTCTGCATATAAATGAAAATCTTCAATTTTATAATGTGTCATCTTAAAAAGGGGTAAGGGATATAAACCAAACAAAAAAAAAACTCAAGGATATCTCTGCCTCAGTTTATAAGTACTTCAAAAATTTACAGTGCTATTTTAAAATATTTTAAAGTCTTAAATTTCCTAGTGAAAGTTTTATTCAGATTTTTAAATAGTTATCAAAATTTAGCCATTCATGCCAGATATTATTTGGTTTTGTTATTAATTATGTTGTCAGAGTGTTTGACATAATATAGAAAATTCTTGATATTTGACAGCAGATCTACATGTGCGAATAGCTTTATTTTTTGGTTTATTTTTGCAAATAACTATCGGCCTCGCAAAATAAACTCATGATATAGCTAAACTCTGGAAGTTAGAGAAACAGATATTTCATGCCTTGAATTTAAAATTTTAAAAGTGCTTTTTGCCAAATCTGATGAAAATACTTTTTTTAATGATTAAAAAGAATAATTTTACAGCCTAAACATAGAAATGAGTTATATTCTAAAAGGAATGATTTTTTTTTTAATGGCAAAGTATATTATTTCATCTTATTGTAAACTAATACTAGTAACAATGAGAAAGATTTAAGTCGTTGATTATAAGACTAGTTGCACTTATAAGTCTAAATTGCACTTTCAGCTTTCAAAACAATTCCAGAGCTGACTAACAGGCAATGAGACGTGAACCGTCCTGGAACACACCCAGCTGAGAGGAATCCTCAGTGTTGTCTCTCCTATTTACACAGCCCAGTCCCTGAGCTGAAGAGCTGCTGAGTAAAATTCTTAGTGTATTGCATATAAGTGTATTGCATATAAATGAAATCAAGTCAGATTCTCATATATGTTTTTTAAGTATCTTTTTTCACTCTTTAATGGACCAGAGTTCACTTAGCTACATATATTTTTCTACATGATTTGGCAAGGAATAGCACATAGCTAGTGCTTCTTAAGACATTTACCAAATCCTCAAGTTTTTATATAAACTGAAAAAAGATGAGGTGGGCCACTGTAGGTGTCTTAAATCAGGTCATATGGTGGCACTGTATCTTTTCAGAACTTTATATGGAACGGATATGGCTAAATTGGACACAGAGTTTTATAATGATAAAAAAGAACAAATATAGTTAGATCATTCATTACATGGAAGAACCACGTTTCCACATTCACATTAGGATAGCGTGCTGCTGTGATCGCAGATTTGTTACAGAGTAAGACATGAGCCCTGTCTTAAAGCTACAATGCTCGAGAATGGGATCCAATGATCACATCATCTAAAAACAACATCCTACTTGGTGGGGTACAAGTGCTTTTAATGCTTACTCTTACTAAAAGGAATTGAAAGCATGTCAGAATGCTATAAACGTAAATGTTTATTTAAAATGATCCATCTTCCTAAAGTCATCAAAAGCCAATACCATTCTCTTTCTACCTCTAAGATGGGCTGTGTATCAAGTTGTCACAAAATAGTAAAATAACTCAGTAATTAATAAAAATTGTAAATAGCAGTAAATGTTTACTATTTATTTATTTTGCACAGAAATTTCTCTCCCTATAAAGGAAGAGCCTTCTCCAATTTCCAAAATGAGACCAGTGACAGCCAGCATCACCACAATGCCAGTCAACACCGTGGTGTCCCGGCCACCGCCCCAGGTCCAAATGGCACCGCCCATATCTCTAGAACCTCTGAGCAGTTTATCTGCCAGCTTAGAGAACCAACTGGAAGCTTTCTTGGATGGGACTTTACCTTCAGCCAATGAGATTACTCCACTACAAAGCAGCAGCGAGGACCGAGAGCCCTTCTCCCTGATCGAGGATCTCCAGAACGACCTGCTGAGTCACTCGAGCATGCTGGACCCCTCACACTCGCCCATGGAGACCGCCGAGGCCCAGTTTGCCGCGAGCACTCCCTGCCTGTCCCTGGACCTCTCTGACTCAAACCTGGACAACATGGAGTGGTTAGACATCACCATGCCCAACACGTCGTCGGGACTCACTCCCCTCAGCGCCACTGCCCCAAGCATGTTCTCTGCTGACTTCCTAGACCCCCAAGACCTGCCGTTGCCATGGGACTAACATCACAGATTCGTCGTCTGAGTTCACGAGGTTTAAGAAGACAGTACTAAAAGGTCAGTTTTTAGAGACAGCTCTATAGTTGCGTCATTGCAATGAAAACATGTCACAGAAAAAAACGGATAGATGGTCACAGCATGGAAACCAAGTTTGAGGACGTTTCATTGCACCCAGCAGTGAATGTCTGCATTTAATATAGCACAGGGCCTTCTGAAAAACCACTAGTCAAAGAAGACCCGTTTCTCCAGACTTCAGTAAAGAATGCAAAGTACCTTTAGATAAAACCTAGAGAGTAATGTGTGCAGGATAACGACATGCAGATTCTCTGGTTAGCAACTACATTTAAACCTCTGTGGTCACTTTCAGGCCCTAAATACAAGCAGACAGCTCCACTCAAACAAGAAAGCCGCGTGAGGGAGGTGAGGGATCACCGCACCTGTTTCTAGCCTGGCCTGAGCCGCCCACAACAGCAGGGATCCAGGCAGCGGAGAGCGCCAGCCAGGCGGCAAAGGCTTCCAGCTGAAGACTTTGGGTTCCATTCATAAACCAATGTAATATTTTTGTGTTGTAGTTTATCTTGTGATTTTTGGAATCTTACTTTAGACTTCCAACTGTAAATGAAAGTTCTTTCACTATAACCAGACAATGTCTTCAAAACACTTCATAAACCACCCCCTGTAAAAAGTCTGGGTCTATTGGTAACACTGTAAACTCTGCTAGCAATCCTCTGGGTTGATTAGATTGACTTAATGTGTAAATTAGACATATATCTGTGCACTCTATGTTGGGATTTGTACAGCCTACATGGGCATAAGTAGTGGCCCTACTACTTTTAATAAGTCGCATATTTCTGGAGTACTTGAGCCACATGTATTTCTGTATTTTTAAGAAATAACTTTCAGGTAACCAGACCATCTCAAAGAACCAAGGAAAGGCTTTCGTGTAAAATATCTTTCTGAGCTGGTGAGCTGCAAAGTGAAGGCAGGAGGAGTCTGTTCCCGGACATTCCCACACCGGTTACAGGTGAGCCTGCTGCCGAGTTGGCCTCGGACCCCCTCCGGCTGCCTCTCCTGCCGCTCATCCTGTCACTGCTTTACAGTTTGGAACTGGATGTCATACCGGGGCTTTCGCTATCTTTTCAAGCCGAAGATTGGAAAACTGGAGGTTTTATTCGTTTTTTATATAGACAAAAAGGTATCACATTTGTTGAGTGGTTTCTTAAGATTTTTCTAAAATGCCAACTATCACAGGATTTCTAAATGATTTCAAAATAGTCATTTAAGTATATGACAAAATGTATAAAACTGAAAGAAAAAAAAACAAACCTACAATCTACTAAAAAGTGTACAGGTTTTCATTAAACAATACTTTCCTGCTCTCCACCTCACCTGTGTGAGCCCTGGGGTCAAATTGCTCTCTGAGTCATTGGCAATTGTTCCCACGGCATGTAGAGGCAGCCTGACCCATTATTTGGAAAGAACTTGCGAATCATTCTGGGTTTGTGTTTTGCCTAAGAGCTGACCTTATTTCAAATTCTTATTTCAGTTTGTAAATTTCACTACATGTAAGAAAAGCCTTTTTCCAGAACTCGGTCTCCCAGGACCCTGGAGCTCTGTTATCTGGCCCTTCCCAACCTGAAGTGCTTCTGACTGGTTCCGGGTGTGCTCAGTGTAGTCTGCGGTGAGTAGTTTGTTAGAAATTGGTCATCCCCCCACGTGTGGGATCCAGCATGCTGCCGTCTGACCAAACCCAGCAAGAGGGTCTGTCACCATCGTGGGCACAATGTGCACCTTCGAGTCACTCCTTTCAGGGCTTGTCTCCGGGGCAGGTCTGAGAGATGAGCTTATCTGGTCCCTACTTGGACTCTAAGCATCATCTTTATTCAGATTTAAATGGCTTATTAGCACCAGACATCAGTGGGGCTGTAGGAGACAACCGAACTAGTCTGCTGACTCGCTGAAGAACTTTGTTCCCATCCTTCTAAGCTGTGTGCACAGGTCGTTTCCTAGCCCCTGTGAACCATGCTACAGGAAGGCTGCTCTCCAAACACACTCAGTGCAAAGAAGGCCGCCTTCTTAGCCTGCTCTCCCTGGACTGTGTTGCTAATGTGCCCACTTTACATCTGTGTGCTATCCTTCATGTACCAGCATTTCATTTAAGAGGAAGAAAGGTAAGGAGTCCAATAACTAAGTCTACCAGCCACCTACGCACACCATTCCACTGGGCCCTCCCGGCCTGAGCAGCAAGCTGGGCATCTGTAGGCTCCCAGCTACACGTTCCAGGTTTGAGGGAGGACACAGATCGTGTGCTGCATGTGACATGACCAAAGATGATACTCTAACCAAGGCTCCTTTGCCCCAACTCAGGGTACGTGGGGGTGAATGCAGTGGGAAAGGTGTTGTCTGAGGTGAGGTGTAAAGGCCCCGTCAGAACAGCTGGTTGGGTTTTTGTGTGCAGATGTGTCGTTCAGAGGAGGTACTGCTACAGGTACTGTGGTAGAGCATCTTGCCAAGAAAACATCTCCTAGAAACGTACTCTCTCACAGCCAGTCTTATTCCCCCAAATATTCCTGAAACACGGTAGTATCAGGTTACCTTCCTGTGTATATAGGTATGCAGTCATGTCACGGGGAGGGATGCACAGAGGTTATACCAAAGCTGCTTCCACAGTCTTTGGGAGTCGGGGGTGTAGTTGTCTTGCACATTTCAGCAAAGCATGTGCTAGAACCTAGGGACAGTGTTAGTGGTTCGGGTTCTAGTGTTTTTCCTGAAATGTGCAATCTACTGTATAGCACTTGCCATGTATTTGTACATAGATGTATTCTGAATTCATAGAATTTCTCATTCAGATACTATTTGTGATTGTTTTATATGAATATTTTTATAATACTAAAGAGATCTTATTTAAATCTCCTTTTTAAAACCTGCACGGTCCTGTGACCCATGTTCCTGACACTTTGTAAGTGCCGTTTAAGAGCAGTGGCCATGGCAGTCTGGTTCTGCCTCCAAAGTGCCGCCGCTTGTAAGTGAGGTTATGGTAATAAGATAGCAACTGAGAGCCGTGTCAGGAGCATGGCACCCGTTCTGTCACCAGAGCTGACGCAGGTGTCCTCACCCTCAGCCCAGATCATTCCAGGTCACACACAGCTTGCTTCGTCCTTTCCGAATTCCCACTGGCCAGCCACGACAGCTGACAAGACAGCTGTCCCCACGAGTGAGGGGACAGTCCGTCTCCTGTCCGCAGACACTGGCCGAGGGGAAGTGGGAAAGCTTTCTGGCAGCATCCAGTGCACACCACACGCCATGCCCAGGGCCGCCTCCCCCACGTTGCTGTCCAGTGGGGAGCGCCCAGCACCGCAGGGACGGTTAGAGAACTTTAGGGAGAACAGTTACCGGGAGTCTACCAGCTGAGCAGCACGGGTCCATTTCACCACATTCACAATAACCCTCCCTTTCCTATCCATCACCAACAACATGGATCCTGGCTACGGGCAGCAGAGCAGAATACCACACCAACTGTCCATCAGGCCACAGAGTTAGCCCCAATTACCAAAAACATTAACTGGAAGGTAAGGTTTATCAAGAAACACAGCTTCCCAGTGCGGTCATGTGTGTTTGGAGAGCATCCTAACTGCATTTCAGCTCATCTTTTAAAAAGTGGCTTCAGTCAAAACTGGAAAATAATTCAGCTATATTAATTCCTTCTCAAACTTTGGAGAGCTTGCTCAGTGATCTTTCCAGGCTACGTTTTTACGTGTGAAGTGACTGTCTGCATGGCAATATATGTTCTTCCCTGCTCACCCTTCTGCCAGCATTCGAGGGAATGCATCATTGCAGAGGGCTTCTACCGGAAATCTTTGATTTGAGGCCTGTAATTTAAAAAGCTGCACATGTTTACAAAAGCACTCTACCCCTCCACACAAACACATTGCTCTGTGAATCGTTATTGAAAAAAATGTCACAGTCTTGTAACAGCAGGATGGCAATCTCAGTTCTACAAGGTGCTGTCTGGAATCAGATAAAACTTGTCAGTGGCAATATCAACACCACTGTCGTGTTTAACAGAGCTTTGTGCCAACTACTAAGTCGAAGCTTTAACCAAGTTCATGAATCACCGAGACTCATAACAATTACCTCTACATTACGCTGTAAGAAAAGTTGCTGATTTGGTAGGAGGAAGAAGCATTTAGGAAAGGGTTTAGTATCTACCAAAAGTACTTAACCTCAGGCAACCAATAGTAATGCAAACTTGCTTTAAAGGAACCAAAGGCATTGCCAAGTATTTGCCAAAAGAAGGCACTTTTTATTTAAAATTTGAGACTAAGGAGATCTCAAAAATCAGTCCCAAAAATGTATTATCCATTTAAGGTTATAATTTTCAGAGGTGTAGATATTTCTCTATCATTTTCATGTAAAATAGTATAGATTTGTTTTGTTGGTTTAGGATAGTACATAGTAGTAATACAAAGTTTGTTTCCTTTCTACGTACAACTTAGCTTTCTTCTTTTCTTGCTTGCAATAGAAATGCAACGTGATAGGTGTTTCTCTTATTTTCATTGTCACATTATGTCTTAGCATCTCACTTTATGGAAAAAAAAAAAAAAAGGAGAAAATACCAATCTACAGAGCCCTGCTTATTAAAGCACTCGCTTAAGAAATAAAAAGTTATGGCAATTGGGGGTCCATTCATGTATTGCCTTTGTGTTGTTTTTTAAAAGAAAAACCATGATGCCTTTGTATTTGCTGTTTGCACCCCTGAAATCAATTCCATATCATGTTTGAATGCCATATGTTTTGCACATGTACTGTATATAGGTAATGCATACTGTATTTTTATATGTGTGCACATTTATCATCAGATCTTTTGTACATAGTGGCAGTATTGTAGCGGATCGGAAAATGTTTGATATCTCAGCAATTTTGCATTTTTGTGTCTCAAATAAAAAAACATTTTGATGTACTATGATTCTTGCTATGCAGAGAAAAGACCACCCTGTGGGCAGCCCTGAGGGTGGGAGATGGAGACACCGAGTTTAGGATACATGTCACAGCAGACTGTCACCACAAAAAACAAGAGGACTCATCAGGGCGGGGTTTGTAGGTGACACATCAAGTAAGCAACCCTCGCCCAGGCCCAAGCGTACAGACTGGAAACAGGTATTAGCTGAACTGGAACCTGACAAGATTTACACCAAAATCTTGTTCTTTCCTCCATATCATAAGGAAGCACTGGACTCAAGACGTGATAAATATGTAGTTCCCCTGGGGGTTGATAGATAACTTACATGCTCTGACAGTAATACCTGCAGCTCCAACAAAATTCCTGCGAGACCCGATAATCTTTCAACTCAGCCAAGTTTCAAAAGCAACTATTTATGTGAGGTGTTTTCATAGAGCATACAAAGAGGTCTTTAGAATTCCGTATTATTTTGGTGAGTTGGCATTTAATTTTCAACCCAAAAGCCCATGGTTAAAAGTTTTGAGGCAGACAGCTTTACATGTTCCTCCTTGCTTTGATGAAATAAAATAGTAAACTTGAGAGACAACTTTCATTATCAGTATCTGATTAGGAAAATGGGTGTTGTATCAACCGTAGGGAGAGAGACAAGATCACGGATTGCCTAAATCCACAAAATGTTCATTATTCATGACACTGAGAAGACAACAGCCTCACCAGACCTACCTGTATGTGGATTATGCTTCAAGTTGCTAAAACATTTGTAACATCACTTATTACCCAGCCAAGATCGTGCCCTCAAGGAGAGGAAATTATGCCAACGGGTGCTCAGAAAGGGACTGAGTGGGAAGAGATGGTGTTGGGACACGGAGAGGACATTCCAAGCTGAGAAAGCAGGCTGGGTGAGGTCCAAGTTAACGGGAGATGGTGGCCAAGGTGAGGCCCTGCTCACCAGGGCCCTGGGAATACCAGAGTGTGGCCGCAAGACAGCATCCACGCAGGAAGTACTGAGTAGTAAAACTGGAACCTGACAAGATTTACATTTCTGATGGGTAGTAATTTCCAGAAAGAAACCTCATCCTAACATCCTAGCTATCTCTCCTGCTCATTTTATGACAAGCTATTAAAACTACCCATATTCCACCATCTGGAAACGTGGAGACAGCCGCACATTCAAGGACCCCAGTTCTTGGAGGCTTAGAGTCATCCATAGACAACTGTCTACATTGGGCAATACAGGGCCTTCAAAAGCTTTTCAGCTATTGGACACAGTCATTTGCACCTTTATAACAGCAATTTGCTCTAGAATTGAGGTGACCACCAAAGCATTTGTAAATGCAGACACCTACACACTTAGTGATAGCTGAAATGAACGATAGCTAGGCCACATTACAATAAAATGCAAGACCAACTGCAGGTCAGATGCCAACTAAATGTCACAATTCCATGTGTCACATAATCCTGAAGATTGCCCCAACTTGCCTAAACCATTCACCATTCCTTCACCCCTTCTACAAATGGCTTATCTTCCATTTCTGATGGGTAGTAACTTCCAAAAAGAAACCTCATCCTAGCTATCTCTCCTGCTCATTTTATGACAAGTTATTAAAACTACCCATATTGGCCGAGACCGGTTTGGCTCAATGGATAGAGCGTCGGCTTGGGGACTGAAAGGTCCCAGGTTCGATTCTAGTCAAGGGCATGTACCTTGGTTGCGGGCATATCCCCAGTGGGGGGTGTGCAAGAGGCAGCTGGTCGATGACTCTCTCATCGATATTTCTAGCTCTCTATCTCTCTCCCTTCCTCTCTGTACAAAATCAATAAAATATATTTTAAAAAATAAATAAAAAATAAAACTACCCATATTGTATAATTAGACAAAAAAACGAGGACATGCATCAGCTTTTTTAATTCCTCTCGGATATGACTGACAGAAACCGCTGCATATGGCCCCACGGGTGGAAACTCCTGTGTTCTCTCTCCCACTGTGCTGCAGAGACAAGACAAACGCATCCCAATGTTGGCACTGTCCTGTCCAAAGCTGAAGATTTTTTAAATATATTTTTATTGATTTCAGAGAATAAAGGAGAGGAAGGGAGAGAAACATCAATGATGAGAATCATGGAATGGCTGCCTTCTACTGGGGATTGAGCCCACAACCCCAGCATGTTCTCTGACCGGGAATTGAACCATGCATGACCTCCTAGTTCATAGATCGATGCTCACCCACTAAGCCATACCAGTTGGGCCAAAGCTCAAGTTTTTGATTGACGGTGAAGAGGGAGGGGTTTTTATCCAGGTTGATACCTGAGAATATCAAGTATTTCCCATCAGAGGCTCAAATATAGGCCTCTTTTCTCACCCACAGCTGGATCAAGTGCAGGTCACACTAAGCAGAATGCACATGAATTTCTGTGAGGTTACAGTGGTTATAATACTTCTTCAAGCGTGAGGAAAAGTCTGCAAAGCTATTTAAACAAGTACCCTTATTTTCTGAAATTGTTAAGCAACTTGGAAAGTGAACCAGGACATCACATTCACTAGAGCAGTGTTTCCCAAACTTTTGACATATGTGTACCCCTTCTATAATTTTCGTAATGCTGAGTACCCCTCATACTCATGAGAACGTAGAATTAGGCACAGCTAAGCACGGCATATCCCCATCAAACTCCGATGCAACGCGTACCCCCACCAAACTTCCCATACCCCTGGGGGTACACGTACCACACTTTGGGAAACACTGCTCTAGAGAAACAGAAGCTACAACTGGGAGACCAAGAGAAACAGGTGCTGTGACCCAGTGCTGCCTCCCCTTCTCCCCACCCTCATGGTACACAATGCCAAAGGACAGGAACGAAACCAGAGGCAGAACCACAGAACAGCAGCCAGAGTAAGTACTGCTAGATGCCAGGCCCTGTGCCCAACACTTCACATGTATAACCTCATTTAGTTACCCGTCTGTGAACTAGGAACTCTCATTTCCCCATTTTAGATGTGGCAACTAAGGACCGAGAGGAGAAATGACTGGCTTGCAATTGCAAAGGAAGAAGAGAGTAAATTTTAGACCCAGCCCTGTCACGCCAAAACCCGACCATTTCTGAAGACTCACTACATAAAACTCTCCGTCTTCTTTCAATTACCAGTTCAACTGACTGGCTTGCTTCATTCATGTCCATTGTGAAGCTCACCCCACTGGGTGTCCCTCCAGCCTCCTCTCTATCACAGGTTTCAAAAAGTAACTATGTCATGGTTAAGAGCATCAGTGGCACGGGTTTTACTAGCTTCACTCTAACCCGAACCTGGGTCACAAGACTGGGGCACCTTGAAGGAAGCCCCCTGAGCGGCCACAGACAAGGACTCATCATGAAACACTGCCCTCTAGCCTGGGGCTTCAGCAGCCACCTCAGCGCATCTGGAAGCCCACGAGTCACGGAACCATTTTACAGTGTTTAGCAAAGCTGAAGATACGGACTCTGTGTCTCAGAAACACATGCACACAGGCAATCACTTGCAAGAACTAACACTAATTCACAAAGAAAGCATTGAAAACAACCCATCTGCCTTTCGTTTGGAGACTGTTTAAACATAGCCATTAACATACATGAACTAAATCCAACATGACAATGGAAAAGTATCTTGAAAGGAAAGGTATCTTGAAAGGAAAGCACAGCATGAAGCCTACATAACTCAAGTAACATTTTAAAATGCTAACGCTGTGCATTTGTCTATACATAAAGATATGAAGTATAAAAACGGGTGGTAAGGATTCACATCAATAGCAAGATTCACAATACTTCTGGAAAAAAAAGGGAACAGATTGTGGAGGGTGTAAAGTAGGCTTGGGTTAACATTGATTATTTCATTTCTTTAATTCTTTATATTAACATTTCTTTACTGGCAGTTGACTTCTGTGAGTTGGGACTATTTCAGGTAAAAAAAAAAAAAAAAGATTAGTTTAAAAGTAAAAAGAATTATAAAAGAAATCCATTAACAACTACATGCCAATAAGTTAGTTAACTAAGATAAACAGTCAAATGTTAGACACAAGACACAAAAGACACAAACTACCAAAAATTGTCTCAAGAAGAAATAGAAAAATTGACTAGACTTACCAAGTATAGAAATGGAATAGTAATTTTAAAAACTACAAACAAATAAGAACCTAACCCTACATAGCTTCACTGGCAAATTCTACCAAACATTTAAAAAAGATTATCAATATTTTACAAATTCTCGGGGGGGGGGGGGGGGGGGGAATAGAACAGAAAATACTATTTCCCAACTCATTCAACTAGGCTAGTATTTCCTGATACCAACACCACACAAAGATATCACAAAGGTGGCAGGGGAGAAGACCCATCTTGCTAATGAATATACATATAAAAATTCTATCAAACCAAGGCCAGCAACATACAGAAAGCATTATACACCATGACCAAGTGGAGTTTATACCAGGAATGAAAAATTGGTCTAACACCTGAAATATCAATTAATGTAGTACACAATATGTACAGAACATGGTACAAAATCTGCATAAACATCCAGGAGATGCAGGGAAAGATTTTGACAAAACCCAACATACCCCTCATCAAATCACAACCTACAGTAGATACACAAAAGATGAAAGAACCAAAACATACCGCAACAATAACAAAAATCATCAAACCACAAAGGAAGATGGAAAGAAAGGGACAAAAGAACTATATAACATTAAGAAAACAATGAATAGTCAGGACCAGTTTGGCTCAGTGGATAGAGCATCGGCCTGCGAACTAAAAGGTCCCGGGTTCGATTCCGGGCAAGGGCATGTACCTTGGTTGTGGGCACATCCCCAGTATGGGGTGTGCAAGGGGCAGCTGATTAATGATTCTCTCTCATCGATGTTTCTAACTCTCTATCCTTCTCCGTGAAAAATCTAATAAAATATATTTTTTTAAAAAACAATGAACAAAATGCAACAGTATGCCCTTCCTTATCCATAATTACATTTAAAACAAATTCTCCAACTCAAAAGACAGAGTGGCTGAGTAGATTACAAAAGGAGATCCCCTCTGAAGAAGGAGGGGTCCCAGGCCCACCCCAGGCCCCAGGGCCCAGGATCCCAGCCCACACAAGGCCGCCCAGCCCAGGATTCCAGCGGTGCCAGGAAGAGAAGTCTCCATAACTTCTGACTATAAAAACCAGTGGGAATGAAGGCTGAGACAGAGGAGTCCCAGGCATTCCTCTTAAAGGGCTAGGCATGGACTTAGAGCTCCAGTGCTCAGGTAGCAACTCAAAAGGCACCAGGGCCCTACGGTGAGGAACTGAATTGTCTGGCTTTTGGGCAAGGGCTGGAGGAGCAGCTTTCTCCCAGAAAGAAGTGCGGGTAGAGGCCTTTGTTCCTTTGCTGAACCCTCTGCCCACAGAGCTGGCAGGGCAGTGCCGTATCTGAGTTTCCATCAACCTGGCTAGCGCTATTCCTCCGGCCCTGGTGGTTCCCCGAGACCCTGCCCCACCCAACTTTTCTGGCCCACCGAAGCCATGTCCAGTGGCTTCTCCATGCAAACGTCCTGTCTTGGCTCATGCTGAGACTTTCCTAAAATCTCAAACAAGCAGCATGTGGCCACAGTGTGCCCCACACCTCTTGCTAAGAGGTCCCAGAGAGCCGGCCTTGGTTGGCAGCTTAGCCTCTTCCAGGCATCTCCCAGCCCAGCAAAAATAGCAGCCATCGGCAGATCACTTTGTAGCTCATGCTGGGTGGCCCAGGGCAGGACACAGATGGTGGCAGACTGCAGCCTGCACCTCCCAGGAGACCTGAGAGCCACCAACATACCCAGTGGGCAGCTTCAGACCATGTCGAAGCACCACCCAATCCCCACCAGGGACACACGGAAAGGATGGACTCAACAGGCACCAAAGCCCTGCTGAAGTCAGTCCTGCCCCAAGGGATCTGCCCCTGCACAGCAGATCCCCCACAGTGGCCCAGGGTGTAGATCCTTCCCATCAATGTGCCAACAGCAATCAAGGATCAACTACGACAGGAGGGCACACATGGCTCACACAAGGGGCACGCCTGGAGTACCCTGATTAGGTGAGTGGGGAGGCGAGGCCTCTGGGCCCAACACAAAACCTACTGCACACATGTCAAACACAAGACCCGCGGGCCAAATCCGGCCCGCTAGGCCTTGCAATGTGGCCCGCACCGCGCTGTCATCACTGCACTCCGCTGCGTTCCATCACAATGACGCGCGGTGACATAGGAGGCTTCGCATGCACATAGATAACAAGTCACGCGAGATTCAGGAGGCGTGACCTATAGTCCGGCATCTGATGTGGTTGTGCGGGTGGCAGAGCAGAGGAGAGAGTGAGTGTGCAGGCATAAAAAATACACAGCAGAAGCTGCCAGTTCCTGGCATAAAGTGCAGGCATAAAAATCACAACAGAATCTGCTGTCTGTACCCAGTCAGGCATTTATTGACTGACTTTTTTTTCTCCACTCCATCTGCCAAATCAAGCTATCCCTGTGCAGTTTTCAACTTTTTCCTTCTAACGCAGATTTCCAATAAACTACATCTTTTACGGCCAATATTGATCCCAAAATGTCCAGGAAAAGAAAAGTTGACGGTGAAGGCAGACAATTTAATGACAAATGGGAAAATGAATACATGTTTGTGCTTAGAGAGGGCAAACCAGTGTGTATATTGTGTAATGAGACAGTGTAAGTGATGAAAGAGTACAATATACGTCGTCATTTTGACACCAAACATAATGTTAAGTATGGCAAATATACTTTGGAAGAAAAGCATAAAATTTTTAAAGAACTAAAAGGCAAACTACAATCACAGCAGCAAATGTTAACAAAGGCTACAGCGAAAAATGATGCTGCAGTGAAAGCAAGCTTTATAGTGGCTGAAGAAATTGCCCGTACTTCAAGGTGTTTTTCAGAGGGTGCCTTTTTGAAGCAATGCATGCTAAAAGTGTGTGAGCAAGTATGCCCAGACCAGATACAGAGTTTTCAAAATGTCAGTTTGTCAAGAAACACCATTGCAGATAGAGTTCAAGAACTCTCAGGAAATCTATCATCACAGCTGGCCGAACAGGCATGCAGTTATCTCGCTTTTTCACTTGCTATCGATGAAAGCACAGACAACACTGATACAGCGCAGCTGTCCATCTTTATACGTGCTACGAAGACCGACCTCTCTGTCACTGAGGAACTTTTGGATGTAGCTGCCATGTATGGGACAACGACTGGTAGAGATATATTTGAGGCTGTGGAGAAATCTATAAATAATTTTAAATTACCCTGGGAAATTTGGTGGGACTAACTACCGATGGCGCACCTTCAATGTGCGGAGAAAAGAAAGGCTTGGTTGGACTAATGAAGGAAAGAATGAAAAAAAGTCACTGCCACACACCCTTGATTACTTATCATTGCATTATCCACCAAGAGGCTATGTGTGGAAAAGTTCTGGACATGAATGACATAATGACCACAGTCATTAAAACTATTAACTTATTCGGGCACGTGGCCTGAATCATCGCCAGTTCCAGCAGTTTTTACAGGAGGTGGGTGCAGAGCATGGAGACGTGCCATACCACACAGAAGTAAGATGGCTGAGCAAGAGCGCAGTCCTCAAAAGATTTTTTGAGCTCAGAGAACAAATTGCTCTTTTCATGGAAAGTAAAGGAAAGCCCTTGCCTGAACTGTCGGATCCCGCCTGGCTATGTGATTTTGCTATGATGTGTGACATATGCGAGCATCTCGCCCAACTGAATCTGAAGCTGCAGGGACGCAAACAAGTCATCACGAAGATGTCTGACATGATCACAGCATTCCAGCGTAAACTTCAACTATGGAAGTCCCAACTGGAACAGGACAATCTTGCCCACTTTCCCGTTTGTTTGAGTATCTCAACCACTATTTCTGGTACTTTTCCTTGCAGTCGGCTGGCTACCAAAGTTAGCCGTTTACTAAGTGAATTTGAGTGGCGCTTCTCTGACTTTAGAACACAGCACTCAGGCTTTGACATCTTTGCCAATCCTTTTACAGTTGATGTCAACAATGTGCCCCATCACCTTCAGATGGAGATAATCGAGCTTCAGTCTGACAGTGGCCTGAAATCAAGGTTTCAGGATGTTGAAATTGAGGACTTCTACCCTCTACTGCCCCCTGACTCAATGCCAGAGCTCCGACTTCATGCTGCCCGTATTCTATCCATGTTCGGGAGCACCTATCTTTGTGAACAGATGTTTTCAATAATGAATCTGAACAAAAACAAGCACAGATCACGCATTACCGATGACAACCTCCATGCTGTTTTGCGGGTTGCTACAGCCCAAGAAATAAAACCTAACATTGACTCATTGATCCGGGGAAAACGGTGTCAGACATCTAGCCAGAAAACAAAACAATGAGCATTTTAGGTACATTCCAATATTACTGTTTTGCTTGATACCAATATTACTGTTTTGCTTGATAGCATGTGAATTGGTTAACAGCACTGTTAAGGAAAAGATTGTTCCACTCATTTTAAATTCACATTTCTGGTTAACATTGTCAGTTTATGACTGTTCAGTAAACCATTCGGCCTGCGATTTAGGCTGGATTTTAGATTTTGGCCCCTTCTCTGATTGAGTTCGACACCCCTGACCTACTGCATAGGCCACTCTACCAAGACCAGGAGGCACAGCAGGTCTACCTAGCCAATAGGACCAAACACAGGGAGGCTGCCAAAATGAGACCAAATGTGTCCGAAATGAAATAATAGAACAAAAGTTAAAAAAAAAATTTTTTAAATGGAGACAAGCAAGCTACTAGATGCAGAATTCAAAAGACTGATTATAAGGATGTTCAAGGAACTCAAAGGAAGAGTAGATAAACTTAATAAGAGCTTCAACAAAGAGATAGGAAATATGAAAATGGAGGCAGAAAACAAAGAACCAGTCAGGAATGTAGAATATAATAACTGAAGTGAACAGTATGTTACAGGGAATCGACAGTAAGAGCAGATGAAGCAGAGAATCAAATCAACAATCTAGAACAGTGGTTTTCAACCTTTCTAATGCTGCAACCCTTTAATACAGTTCCTCATGTTGTGGTGACTCCCAACCATAAAATTATTTTCGTTGCTACTTCATAACTGTAATTTTGCTACTATTATGAATCATAATGTAAATATTTGTGTTTTCCGATGGTCTTGGGTGACCCTGCTAGCAGTTCTGTTGCAACCCACAGGTTGAGAATCAATGCTGTAGAGCCTAAGATTATCAGAAAACACAGATATTACATTATGATTCATTAACAGTAGCAAAATTACAGTTATAAAGTAGCAACAAAAATAATTTTATGGTTGGGGGTCACCATAACATGAAGAACTTTATTAAAGGGTCACAGCTTGTTCCAGATGCACTGCCAGTGCCCACTGCAGACCTTGTAGCCCCGGAACTCAATGTGGGTAAAGAAATTCACTGCCCAAGGACTCAAAGGGACGCTGCACTGTTATCCTGAGCACGCCCACTGCTGTTGAAGTAGATGGCACCCAGACCTGACTACATGACTCCCAGCTCCTGCATGGCCTGGATCCTGGCAACTACAGGCCAGGAGAACTGATGCCTGCAGGAGGGGAACTGGACTTCAGTGAGGACAATACTGATGGGAACTGTGGTACTAAGGGTCTTGGTAACTGTATTTGTTGTTTATGCTGAAAGGAAGTAGGCTGAGTCAATGATTTGACTAGGCACATTAGACAAGGGGGGAATAAGAGGGCAGGGCAGGGCGAGGATGAGCTCCCAACCCCGCCCCACAGGGCGGAGTTATCCCTAGCCCTCACCCAACCAATCAGGGTTAGCCGAAGCAGTGACATCACCACCGATCAGAGTAAAACCCCTGGACTGGGCGAAATTCACGCTCTCTTCCGCCATGCTGCCGGCGTGAGTGGGAGGAGCCCATGCTAGCATGGAACAGGCTCTTTTGTTCATTGCATTGGACTCAGCTCCCTGGTGGTCCTTGGGGATCACGAAGTCTGGGGATCACGAAGTCTGGGCGTAACAATATCAAAATACCCAGCAGGAAAAAAAAAATGACATCCAATATTCACCCAGGGTTTAAACAAGAAATTTTTGTTTGATGTGAAAGCATTAATAATTTGATCACAGAAGAACATTTTTTCAGCAGTGCTCTCAGATTGCCAGGAAAAGATAATTCTTCCCTTGTGGACATGCTTTTTATCACATGCCCTTCACTTGCTGATGAAATCTTGCATGGATGGTCCCCCGCAGGGTTTATCTGAGGAGGGAGAGAGAGGTACCCTCCAGCTATCATGAGACTGTGAGTCATTCAGAATCCAAAACAAGTTGATTCAAAGCTCAGGCAATTGAAGCTCCTATTAACCAGCTCAGAGGACTATGGTCAACCACCCAGTCCATCTACCTCAATGTTTTCTCACCTGGCCCAGTTTTTAAATCAGGGATTCGATTTTTCTTGTGGTCTCTGAACTTAAACCTATATGCTTATATTAAAAATTAACACCTGACAAAAACAAAAACAAAAACAAACAAAAAAACAAACAAACAAAAAAAAGGGTTACAGCTTGAGAAAGGTTGAGAACCACTGATCTAGAAGAACATACTCAATCAGAAGAGGAAAATGAAAAAAGAATCCAAAAAATGAGAACAGATTAAGGAGCCTCCCGGACAACATCAAGTGTACCAATATTTGCATCATAGGGGTGCCACAGGAAGAGAGCAAGGAATTGAAAACCTATTTGGAAAAATAATGACAGAAATAAGACATACAAATCCAGGAAGCATAGGATGTCCCAAAGAAGATGAACACAAAGAGGTCTACACCAAGACACATCATAATTAAAATGCCAAAGTTTAAAGGCAAAGAGAGAATCTTAAAAGCAACAAGAGAAAAGCAATTCATTACCTACAAGGGAGCTCCCATAGGGCTATCAGCTGGTTTCTCAGCAGAAACTTTGCAGATCAGAAGGAATTCATACAAAATATTCAAAGTGATAAAAATCAAGGATCTACAACCAAGATTATGCCATCCAGCAAGGTTATCATTTAGAATTGAAAGACAGATAAAGAGCTTCTCAGACAAAAAACTAAAGGAGTTCATCACCACCAAACCAGTATTATAAGAAATGTTAAAGGGTTTTCTTTAGAAAGGAAAAAACAAAAATTAAGAATATGAATTTTAAAATGGCAATAAATATATCTATCAATAATTATTTTAAAAGCAAACAGATTAAATACTTTGATCAAAAGAGATATAGTGACTGAAGGCATAACAAGACCTTTACATATGCTGTCTACAAGAGACTCACTTCAGATCAAAAGAGACAACAGACTAAAAGGGATAGAAAAATAGATTTCAAAGTTGCTCCTCAAACAAAAAGCTGGTGTAGCAATACTTATACCAGACAAGAGACTTTAAAACAAATACTATAACAAGAGACCAAGCAGGACAAAGCAATTCCATTTCTGGGTATTTTTCTGAAGAAACCCAAAACACTAAATCCAAAAGACATATATCCATATTTTTATTGAAGCATTATTTACAACAGTCAAGATATTGAAGCAATTAGGTTTCACCCATGGATGAATGGATAAAGTAGACATGGAATATGATTCAGCCATTTAAAAAAAAAAAAGCATGACATTATCTGCAACAACATAGATGGGCCTAGAGAGTATTATGCTGAGTGAAGTAAGTCAGACAGAGAAAGACAAGTGCCAGATGATACCACTTATATGTGGGATCTAAAAAAAATAAATAGGCAGAGGAGAAATAGACTTACCAGTATAGCTACAAAGACTATTTTGACATTTGCCAGATGGGAGAAGCATTTGGAAAATGTGTGGAAAAGGTGAAAGAATTAAGAAGTACAAATTGGTAGTTATAGAATAGTCATGGGGATGTAAAGTGAATAGGGAATAAAGTCAATAATATCATAATAACTCTGTGTGTCAAGTGGGTACTAGATTTATTGGGGTGATCACTTTGTAAGCTACATAAATGTCTAATCACTGGATTGTACACTTAAAAATAATGCTGTATATCAACTATATTTGAAATATATATTATTTGAAGAATTTTTAATAAACAAGATCCAACAATATTCTGCTACAAGAGACTTGTCTTAGCTCTCATGATACACACAGGCTGCAAGTGAAAGATGGAAAAAGATGTTCCATGCAAATGATAACCAAAAGGGAACAGAGGTGACTATATTTAGGCCAGGCAAAACAGACTTTCAGTTAAAATAAGACTTTCAGTAAAAAATAGGAAAGGTCACTCCCTATATAAAGATAAAGGGATCAGTTCATCAAACAGGATATGACAACTGTAAATATATATGTGCCTAATACTGGAACACCTAAATACATGTAAGAAGCATATATAAAGCTAAATAGAGAAATAAAAAGCAATACATAATAGTAGGGACTTCAATGCCCCACTTTCAGCAATGGATAAACTATCCAGACAGAAAAATCAATAATGATATTATAGACCAAATGAACCTAACAGACATACAAAGATCATCCTATCAATAACAGTAAATAAAGATTCTTCTCAAGCAGACATGAAACTTCTCCAGGTTAGATCATATGTTAGGCCAAAAGCAAGCCTTACATTTAATTAGACTGAATTGATGTTTCAACCACAGTGGCATAAAACTAGAAATCAGTAACAGGAGGAAAATTAGAAAATTCTCATATGTATTTGAAAATTTAACAACATGCTCCTGAACAACCAATGGTCAAAGAAATATCAAGAGGGAAATCAAAAAGTATTCTATGACAAAAGAAAATGGAAACACATTGTACCAAAACTTTATGGGATTTAGCAAAGGCAGTTCTAAGAAAGATGTTTTTAATAATTAATGCCTACATTAAGGAAAATGAAAGATCTTAAGTAAACAACCTAACTTTAAACCTCGAGAAAAAAAGAAAACAAACAACTAAGCCCAAAATTATCAGAACATAAAATGATTAGAGCAGAAATAAAATGGAAATAGAAAGATAATACAAAAGATTAAAAAAAAAACAAGAGTTAGTTTTGAAAAAATAAAATAAAATTGACAAGCATTTAGCTAGATTAACCAAGAAAATAACACACTGAGCTCAAATAAAATTGTAAGTGAAAGAAGATATTACATATTACAGAAATACAAAGGTTCATAAGAGATTACTATCAACAATTATATACCAACAAATTACATAATCTACAAATATTGGATAAATTCCTAGAAACATACAGCCTACCAAGACTGAATCATGAAAAAATAGAAAATCTGAACAGACCAATAACAAGTAAAGCGATTGAAGCAGTAATAAAAATTAAAAAAAAAAAAAAAAAACTTCCAAAAGAAAAAAAAAATCCCCAAACTAGGTGGCTTCATGGGTGAATTCTACCAAACATTTAAAAAAAAAAAGAATGCAAATCCTGCTCAAACTCTTCAAAAAAACTGAACAGGAGGGAACACTTCTAAACTCCTTCTACAGGGCCTGCATTACCCTCATGTCAAAGCAAGATAAAGACATTACAAAAAAAGAAAATTACAGGCCAATTCCTCTGATGAATATAGATGCAAAAATCCTCAACAAAATGCTTGCCAACCAAATTCAACAGCACCTCAAAAGGATCATACACTGTGAACCAGTAGGATTTATCCCTGGGATGCAAGGCTGGTTCAACATATGCAAATCAATAAATGTGATACACCACACTAACAATGAAGGATAAACATCATATGATCACCTAGATAGATGCAGAAAAAGCATCTATTTGACAAAATTCAACACCTTTCCACATAAAAACTCTCAAAAAACTGAGAATATAGGGAATATACCTCAACATAATAAAGGCCATATACAACAAGCCCACAATTAACATCATACTCAACAATGAAAAGCTAAAAGATTTTCCTCGAAGATCGGGAACAAGATAAGGAAGCAGACTCTCACCACTTTTACTCAACATAGTACTGGAACTCCTTGCCAGACAATTAAGCAAGAAGGAAAAAGAGAAAAAGAAAAAGCATCCAAAATAGAAAGGAGCCGAAACCGGTTTGGCTCAGTGGATAGAGCATCGGCCTGCGGACTGAAAGGTCCCAGGTTCGATTCCGGTCAAGGGCATGTACCTTGGTTGCGGGCACATCCCCAGTAGGGAGTGTGCAAGAGGCAGCTGGTCGATGTTTCTCTCTCATCGATGTTTCTAGCTCTCTATCCCTCTCCTTTCCTCTCTGTAAAAAATCAATAAAATATATTTTTAAAAATAGAAAGGAAAAGATCATCTGTTTTGCAGATGACATATTTTATATAGAAAACCCTAAAGATCCCACCCAATAACTGTTAAAACTAATAAATGAATTCAGCAAAGTTGCAGAATACAAATTAACCATGGTAAAATCACTATCATTGCAGTACACTAACAATGAACTATCCAAAAATATTTAAAAAAACAATCCCATTTGCAATAGCATCAAAAAGAATAAAGTACTTATGGAATATACTTATCCAAGGAGGTGAACAATCTACATTGAAAACTATAAGACAGAAATGAAAATATTGAAAATTTGTGAAATAAATGTTATCATGACATCTCATGTACAGGAACTAGAAAGATTAATATTATTTAAGTGTCCATGATACCCAAAGTGATCTACAGATTCAATGCCTTACCTATCAATATTTCAATGGGATTTTTCCCAGAACAAACAATAGTACTAACATTCATATGGAACCTCAAGAGACACGCATAGCCAAAACAACCTTGAGAAAGAAAACAAAACTGGAGGTATCACACTTCCTGACCTCAGAGTATGTTACAAAGCTATATGGTACTGGCATCAATAGACCAATGGAACCGAATACAGATCCCAGAAATAAATCTACATGCACACATATTAGAATATACAATTAATCTTTGAAAAGGGAGCCAAAAATAAACAAGGAAAAGACAGTCTCTTCAATAAATGTCATCAGGAAAACAGAATGTCCACATGCAAAATAATGAAATTGGGCCCAAATACAATAATTAATTCAAAGTGGATAGAAATCTTCATTGTAAAATTTGAAACCATAAAAATTCTATGAGAAAACATAAGAAAAGGGTTCCTTGGCAATTATTTGTTTGTAATATAGCATTAAACACATAGGCAACAAAAGCAAAAATAAACAAGTGGAACTACATCAAACTAAAAAGCTTTTGCATAGCAAAGGAAACCATCAACAAAATAAAAAGGTAACCTACATACAGAATGGGAGAAAATATCTGCAAACCATATACCTGATAAGAGGTTATCATAAAAAATATATAAACTCATACAACTCCATAGCAAAAGAAATCTGATTAAAAGTTGGGCAGAGGCCAATGTGGCTCAGTGGTCGAGCTTCGAGCTATGAACCAGAAGGTCACGATTCCATTCCCGGTCAGGGCACATGCCTGGTATGCAGGTTTGATCCCCAGTGGGGGATGTGCAGGAGGCAGCTGATCAATGATTCTCTTATCATTGATGTTTCTATCTCTCTCTTCTTTCTTTTCTGAAATCAATAAAAATAGATTTTCAAAAATAATTTTTTTTAAGTTGGGCAGAGGACCTAAACAGACATTTTCCCAAATAACACAAATAATTAATTGGCTAAAAGGCACATGAAGAGATTCTCAACATCACTAGTCATCAGAGAAATTTACAACAAAATCACAATGAGATGTCACATCACATCTACTAGAATGGCTAATATCAAAAAGACAAGACATAACACGTGTCAGAAAAGGTGAGAAGGAAAGGGAACCCTCGGGCACTGTTGGTGGGAATGTAAATGGCTATAGCTATTATAGAAAAAATATGAAGATTCCTCAAAAATTTTTAAATAGAACTACCACATGATCCAGTAATCCCACTTCTGGATATATTTCTAGAGGAAATGAATCAGTATCTAAAAGAAACTATCTGCACCCCCATGTTCATTCACAATACTCAAGATATAGAAACAGCCTACTGTCCAGTGAGTAGATAAAGAACACACATATACATACATGTATATATATATAATACACACATATACATATATACACACATATACATATATACACATATATATATACACACATATATACACACATACACACACACACACACACACACACACACACACACACGTGTGGCCCGGTGCATAAAATTCGTGCACAGGGGGTAGGTCCCTCAGCCTGGCCTGCACCATCTCCAATCTGGGATCCCCTGAGGGATGTCCAACTGCCTCTCGCAATCCAGGATCACTGGCTCCTAATGGCTCACCTGCCTTCCTGTCTGATTGCCCCTAACCACCTCTGCCTGCCTACCTGCCTGATCACCCCTAACTGCTCACTTAACGGCCACAGCCTGGCCGGTCCCCATTCCTCTCTCCCTAGTGTTGAGTGTCTGAGTATTCCAGCATGAGGGTGAGACAATCATTTGCATATTAGCTCTTTATTATATAGGATACACACATACATACAGGGTATGGCAAAAAATAGGTTTAAAGTTGTGAATGTGCAAAATAGAGAGTTTATTCTTATATTATTCTTTATTTATTATGGTATTATTTTCTTTATGAACAACTGTAAATCTACTTTTGCTCCACTCTGTATATACATTTGTATATACACACAATGGAATATTTTCAGCCTTAGAAAAGAAGGAAATCTTGCCATTTCACACAACATGAGTAAACTAAAGGACATTATGGTTAGTGAAACAAGTAGGACAAAAAAAGACAAATACTGTATGATCTCACTCATTATGTCTAACTCACAGAAACACAGAATAAAATGTGGCTGCCAGGGGCTGGGAGATGGGCTGGTCAAGGGTACAAACTTCCAGTAATAAGATTAATAAGTTTTGAGGATCTAACGCACAGCATGGTTACAGTTAATAATACTGTATTGAAATTTGCTAAAATAGATCTCACCACACACAAAAAGAGGGTAACTACCCTCTTTGTATGTAGTTTGAAGGCTGTGTTAACTAGCTTGACAGTGGTAATCCTACCTAATAAGAGTGTAATATGCAAATTAACCATCATTCTGCTATACCCACAAGCCACGCCCACCAGCCATACCCACCAGCCAATCAGAGCGAACATGCAAATAAACCCAACCAAGATGGCTACCAGCCACACAGAGCAGGAAGGAGGCTTGAGTTTCCCAGGCAACAGCGGAAGCCAAGCTTTCCACCTGCCCTTGCTGGCCTAGGCCTCCACTCAAGGCTACAAAGTTTAATTATGGAAGGTAAACAAATCCAAACAGAAATGGCTGCTGGCCACCAAGTGAGCAGGAGGCTTGGCTCTGCTCCAGGCTACAAAATTTCAATAGTAGAAGGTAAATAAATTCCAGACACCAGGGCCTCCACTTGTGTTGCCAGGGGGCATGGCTGACCTGCAAACCACCACAGGCCCCTTGCCCAGTCCTCTCCACATCCCAAGGGAACCCCCATCCTGATCTGGGACACCCTTCAGGGAAAACCAGCAGGCCCCCACCCATGCACCAGGCCTCTATCCTATCTAATAAAAGAGTAATATGCAGATTGACCATCACTCCAACACACAATAGCTGTCCCCATGTTGTCAAAGATGGCTGCACCCATGTGGACACAAGATGGCCACCACAAGATGACCAGCAGGGGAGGGCAGTTGGAGGTGATCAACCTTGCAGGGGAGGGCAGTTAGGGGTAACCAGGCCAGTAGAGGAGGGAAGTTGGGGGGAAACAGGCTGGCAGGGGAGCAGTTAGACATCAATCAGCCTGGCATGGGAGTGGTATGGGAGTGGTTAGGGGGTGAGTTAGTGGTTAGGTGCTGGCAGGCAGAAGCAGTTAGGGGCAATCAGGAAGGCAGGCAGGGAGTATTTGGAAGCCAGCAGTCCTGAATTGTTAGAGGGACATCCGACTGCCCATTTAGGTCCTATTCCACCGGGCCTAAATGGGCAGTTGGACATCCCTCGAGGGGTCCCAGATTGGAAAGGATGCAGGCTGGGCTGAAGGACATTACCACCCCCTCTCCTCCCTCCCACTCCCCCCACACAAATTTCGTGCACTGGGCCTCTAGTTCTTTCATAATGTACATGAATATCAAATTTCATTGTTGTACACCTTAAGTATATACAGTTTTTATTTATCAATCTGGAGGGGAAACTTTTTTTAGATGCTGAAAGGAAAAAAACTCTCAACCAAATATTCTATATGACAAAGTGACACTCAAAAATGAGGGAGAAATTGCTATTCCAAAATAAACAAAAGCTAAAGAAATTCATTACCATTACACCTGCCTTACAAGATATGCAAAGGGAGGATTTCAAGTTGAAATGAAAGGACATTGACAGTAACTCAGTCTTTTAATGTAAGATTCTCCATAAAGGAAATACATGAATAAATGAAAACCTGCATTATTGTCTTTTTGTTTAACTCAACTTCTTATTCTTTCATAGAATTTAAAAGACAAAATAATTCTAAATCTGTATTAATGGAGACATAAATATAATACTGTAATTTGTGACATCAATAACAAAAGGAAGGTAAATGGAGCTATAAAGAAGTAGAATTTGCCTTAGCCAGTTTGGCTCAGTGGATAGAGCATTAGTCCACAGACTGAAGTTTCCTGGTTTCGTCGATTCCAGCCAAGAACACATTGCAGACTCTATCTCAGGCCCTGGTTGGGCCACGTGCAAGAGGCAACCAATTTTTGTGTGTCTCTCACATCAATGTTTTTCTCTCTGTTTCTCCCTCTCCCTTCAACTATCAATGGACACAAGTCACTGAGGGGGGTGAGGGCATTTGCGGGGCGGGGGGGGGGGGGGGGGGAAGGGCTGGGGGGAGGTAAATGGGGAGGAAATGAGACATATGTATTACTATTGTAATACTTCAAATAATAACATGGGAAAAAATCAATGGAAAAATATCCTCAGGTGAGGAAAGAGAGAAGGAAGAAGGAGGAAGAAGAGGAAGAAGAGGAAGAAGAGGAAGAAGAGGAAGAAGAGGA